ATTAGTGTTTTTTTCAACGTATGTCCTGTTCCTTAAAGTTTGTTAAAAAACACACACACACACACACACACACACACACACACACACAGTGAATTAATAACAACAACAAAAAATAATCTGTTAATTATAAGCAAATCTTGGTTAAAAGCATTTTAAAATAAACAGGGTGTTAATTTGCACATATGAATACAGACCAGAAATTCTGTCTGTTAAATCCGAAGTCTGTTAAATCGAGGTCTGCAAAATCGAGGGTTTACTGTATGAATCGAGGGTTTACTGTATAAATTTAAAAATGTGTAGTGCCCTAACCGGTTTGGCTCAGTGAATAGAGCATCGGCCTGCGGACTCAAGGGTCCCAGGTTCGATTCTGGTCAAGGGCATGTACCTTGGTTGCGGGCACATCCCCAGTGGGGAGTGTGCAGGAGGCAGCTGATCGATGTTTCTCTCTCATGGATGTTTCTAACTCTCTATCCCTCTCCCTTCCTCTCTGTAGTGAACAGAGAGGATTACAGACCACTACCTGGGTAAATGTCTCATGTGTGTCTGAAAGGGCACACATTATGTATCCACTGTCCTAGACCAGAGAGATCTCTCCGCATATTGTACACCAGCCAAACCCCTCTTATCTCTGCTACCTTGTGAGTGTACAGAACATCACCTTTGAAATCATCTTAGCTATAGGAAAAAATAAGAGCAATGGGGAAATTCCTGGAAAGAGGACTGTATTAGGAGTTTTAAAAAATTGGTTCTTGTCTCCGTTCTGCCAACAAATATTTCTGTGATATTTTTTTCTGTTTCATGGGTAATTATTATATATATATATATATATATATATATATATATATATATATATATATATATATATATAGATTTCAGAGAGGAAGGAAGAGGGAAAGAGAGATAGAAACATCAATGATGAGAGAGAATCATTGATTGGCTGCCTCCTGCACACCCCCTACTGGGGATCGGGCCCACAGCACCAGGCATGTGCCCTTGACTGTACTCGAACCCGGAACCCTTCAGTCTGCAGGCCGACGCTCTATCCACTGAGCCAAAGCGGCTAGGCCATAGGTAATTATTTAAGTGTGACTGCATTTCTCTGCAGTCATTCCCTTCCTTGGGAATTTGCTACAAGGAAGCATTTGTCACCCTTGTTCACCTTTCCTCAATTTGTTCCTCTGTGACACAGACTCTAAGAGGGTCCATACCATTTAGCCCAACTTTTTTTTAAACTACAAACCTTCAGAAAAGTTTAAAAAATAGTACAATGCATATACATGTGCCTAGATTCAATAATTGTTACCATCTTGCCACATTTGCTGTATCTCTTTATGCAAAAACTTTTTTTTTCCGACTGAACAATTTGAAAGTAAATTTCAGATATTGATTCTTTATCCCTAACTACATCAACAGGCATCTTCTAAATATAAAGACATTCTCCTGAAATCCCTAAAATCACTATCAACTGAAGTGAATGAGCATTCACTCAATACATCATTTAATATAAGGTCCATATTCCCCTGTTGCTCCCTGAAAACATCTGCTTTATTTATTTTTGGATCCAGAGTCCAATCAAGGTTTACAACATTGCATTTGGTGGGTTGTGTTCCATTTGCTTCATGTGTTTTATCCGATCCAAAACTGTTCTCCCCCTCCTTTTTCTGTTTTTTTTTTTTTATGACAATTTATTTTTGAAGGACTTAGGCCAGCTGGTCATGCTTTCCTTATGCTATTATATATAAACTGCAAGTCACTGAATGTGAATGCCAACGTGGTTGCCATTAACATTTTAAAAAGATAATTAAGTAAATATTTTGGTTTGAGGTCCAAGTACTCTCTAGACTTCAGCAGGCAGGTTTTGGATGCAGCTGGAGAAAGGTATTTCCTGAGGAGCGTTAAATTCCAAGTAGCTTCCTATCATCACCACTTCGAATGAACGGTTGGAAAGTAAATGATGTACTTTGTATTTTATTTTATTAAATATATTTTTATTGATTTCAGAGAGGAAGGGAGAGGGAGAGAGAGAGAGAAACATCAATGATGAGAGAATCATTGATTGGCTGCCTGTACGCCCACACTGGGGATCAAGCCCACAACCCCAGCATGTGCCCTGACCAGGAATCAAACTGTGACCTCCTGGTTCACAGGTCTATGGTCAACCACTGAACCATGCCCACCGGGCATACTTTTTATTTTAAAAGTTAGTTTTTGGTCAACCACTGAACCATGTAGTTTTTTTGAGAGCTAGCCTCTTAACCAGGTTTATATTTTGCCCTATTTTTCTCTAAACTCATTTGCATTTTACCCATTTGGTTTCTTTATCTTGACTACTTATTTTCAAACAGAGCAAGAATAACTGATCTTAGAAAATGGACAAAAACTAACTCTACACACTCACAGTGCCAGGATAAAAAAACTGAATATTTTTCATTTATACTTCTTTGCTTGGATAAGCCTTATTTGACATAAAAGTTAGTTGTTTTTTTAATATATATTTTATTGATTTCAGAGAGGGAGAGGAAGAGAGAGACAGAAGCATCAACGATGAGAGAGAATCGATTGGCTGCCTCCTGCCCCCCACCATGCCCGTCAAGTGCCCTGACCCTGGAATCAAATCGTGACTTCCTGGTTTATAGGTTGAAGCTCAACCACTAAGCCATGTTGGTCTGGTGACACAAAATTTAGTTAAATGATGTATTTAGAGCCTCCAAAGTACACAGCCCTGTATCACATAGAGTCTGAGATCTTGAAGACAATTTTAGAGAACCCTGCTTAATTGAAAAATAGTATTCGCTAATTTAAAAGGTCTTTACAGTGTATTTTTACAAATATTATTCGACTTGATCTTTATAACAACTCTATGAGGTAGTTGAGGAAGGTGGTGAAAACTCTCTTTTTCAAATAATGAAAGCGAGGCTCAAATAGGATCTCATGACTCTAAGGGAGAAAGATGGGATTTAAAGCTGGTTGTGGATTGCATACCAAAGGTATATTGTAATCTCATTTGACTGAAATTACCTCCTCAGTCATTTAAAGCAGCAGCCGCCAACTTTTCAGACCTCACAGACCACTAGTGGTCCACGGACCACCGGTTGGCGACCGCTGGTTTAGAGTCTTGTATATTTTGGCAAAATCAATGTGTTTATCTTAGGAATATTACACTCCTACCATTAATAACAGTTCTCTGCTGTAGGAGTCCTGCATTATTAAATACCAAACCTCTCTGACTTTTGGAGAGACTCTGTTACCATAGAAATCTGGGGACATTATTGCTCTAAAAAGCAGCCACTCAACCTAAATGGTTCAAATACCATTAGGGCCATCCTCTGGTTTAGGCAGATATAAAAATGCCTCAACCCAATTTGTATGTCCTTCAATGAAGACTCAGTTGCATCACCTAGCATATCCTCTCCTGGTACCTAATAATATTCGCTGTTAAGAGTTTTGTTTTTTCTTTCCACCTGAAAGGTGACCACGATCACCAAAACCACAAAAGGAAGGTCTGAAGGAATATCCTTCTGCTCCACCATGGGTTTGCCTATTTTGTTTATTTTGCTGATTATGAGACATTGATAGATTGGAAACATCACAATTGCCATCGGTTGTGAGTAAATGATATAATCATAATTATTAAGTTGCTCATTATGGACTCAAATTTCTACAAATAGTATAGTGTATGTACATATTTACATACATACACACATAGTTTATACATATGTACACACATATGTTTGTTTTATTTTATTTTTTTGTGTTTGTTTTTTACTCAAAAGTAGCCCATACTGAGTGGCAAGAATATAATTGCTCTGAAAAGAAAAAGAAGAGTCTAACATTTAGTAACAAGTTTCTTCCTGAATTTTCTTAAATTAAAAAAACAACAACAATAACACAAGAGAGGTTGCTTGTACTTAAACTGCCATTTTCTGTTTTTAATTTTGTTAGCATGTATTTCATTGCATTTATGAATAAGAATAGGTAGCATATATACATAAACCCAACACTTGGGGGTAGCTGTTTACCTTCTGAGGTGTTTCCTTGTGGTGAATTCTCTTATTACTTGGCTTAGTCACGGCTCCTTCAACTAATAACTCCGTTTAATTTTCAATATCCCTGCAAATCCATCTCCGAATTGCACAATTATGCCAGTTCTAGCAAATTGGAAACTGTATTTTAAGCAACCACCTTGCCTTAATGCCCATAGGCTCTCAGCTGCTGAGGGTAGAGACCAAGCATTGCTGGTCTCTGTGCATCTAGCATAGGAAATGCCTAGAGCAGGTGCTCAACAAATGTTTGCTGAGCAGAACTGTCCTCAATGACCTAATGGGAAAAGAGAAGAAAGGCAATTTTTTACTGAAGTGACTGCCCCAAATAGAAATGAATTCAACCTTACATGGACTCTATATACACTTAAACTCCCACACGTAGACCAGGGAACCTCTGTAGGTACAGTTTCTAACTGATCACTTGGTAGCAGGTCATTGCCCTCATCCCCAGGCTCAATCCCATCTCTACTTTTGAACATCTTAAACCAAGTGCTTTCTCCTCTCATCATGTAACAAACAGGCCCACGTAGAGTTACTTTGGGTCAAAGATATATAAAAAGATAGATAAAATGTTGACACTAAAATTATAAATGAAATGTTGTTCATCAAAGCTGGATTGTGATTTGCTTCCTATGACGCTCTTTCATTATGGATGGTAATTTCTTAGGCCTCTTTTACGACCCAGAATTCTCTCTTTTAACAAATGAAATACTTAGAACTACTTTGAGTTTTTAAAAATTGATGGTTGTTTTATATTTCACTAAGTTTATATTTCACTAAGTTTGTGCTTCTTCTAAATGTTATCCCCAAAGATGTGAACTGATTTTTTTGTGGTTCACATTTCTTAATAGCAGTTTTAATAGAAGTCTTGATAAAGATGACTAACCCTAGTCAGGTAGGACAAGAAGAATTAATTTTTAAATTACAATATTCATAATTTATGGCTATTGTAAATATTAGGAAAGTTTTTTTTTGTTAGGAGAGTTTTCATGGCTGTGTCAGAGCTTCCTAGTGATGCAGAATTGGTAAGACTTATGTGATATATAAATGTGTGACTTATTAGACATCCTAATAGCAACCATGTGATAAAAAAAAAATGTAAACAGCTTCTCCTTGCATCAGATGGTCATTTAGAAGAATCACTGCCTTCCAGGATCTGAATAGCATCCTGTCCCTCAAGAAAATGTTAAGTCCTGGTCCCATCCAAAAAGCACACAAAAAACCCTCAAGATCAACTTCTCATTAAAACCCCCTCCCCCCGAAAAAGTATATAAAAATACTGAAATAATATTCTCACAAAAAAAGCAAAGTCTGAGTTAGAGAGTAAGTATCAAGTACATGCACAAAAGCTTTCATTTCACCCGTATATGAATGGCTCTAGAGAAAGATACATGAGAAAACCACCAACTACATAACACAGTCTTCGTGGCACCTAACCAGGGGCGGGGGGAGGGGAATAAATAGTTCATAGGGCAAATCCTCTGTCCCACAGTCCAATCAGGGAGATCCACGGTGTCACTAGGCAGTAAACGTCCACGTATCTTTTCAGGTAAGTTCCTGAGAATTGGACTGTTCTTCCGCGTTTCTCATCTTGCTCCTTCCAAATGCCAGCGTGATTGCCTCCGGTGTCTTCAGCCCGAAGTCAGCCATCCTGCAACATAAATCAGAACCTGTTGCATGGCTGTGTCTCATTGAACAAAATAAGAGTGTTCCTAGAATGCTGTTTATTTGAAGGACCATCTCAAGTGATCAGAATCTGTACTCTCAAGATTTAGACAGAATTAAAAGATCATGTGTCCACCCAGCACATGAAATTTTAAAGGCGTCCATACAGAGGCTCCCAGCCAAAAAGGATGCTTGCCAAGAAGGACACTTCTGCCTAAAGGGTACTCTACATCGGTCCCTGAAATATCCCTTGTGGAGGTTTCCCTGTTATTTTATTTTATTTTATTATTTATTTATTTAGTTATAGTCCAAGGATATTTTTTTCCATTGATTTTTTTTTTTTTTTTAGAGAGCATGGAAGGGAAGGAGGAAGGCGAGAGAGAAACATTGATATGAGAGAGACACATCAATTGGTTGTCACATGTACACGTCCCGACTGGGGCCGGGAATCGAGCCTGAAACCAAGGTATGTAGCCTTGACCAGAATCAAACCCGTGACCCTTCAGTCCGAGGGCTGATGCTCTAACCACTGAGGAAAATTGGCCAGGGCAAGGTTTCCCTTTTGGAAATTCATAATATACAGTATATCAGTATAAGGATACTGAGAAAATTTATATGGGAAAAAGATCTATATCTATACTGATATTTATAGGTTTATAAACATATTTAACTTTGTTTAGTCCACCATTTCCTAGCCCTTCTATGTTTAATTATTTTAAGTTAGCAGAAGATAATAAAAAACAAAGAAGCATTATAAAGAAAATATGCATATTCTTACTGCCAAGTGAGTAATCTTGACCTGTTCTTGCCATCCAAGGGCTCAATGATTATTGGTGGAATGGTATCCACCACCACAGAAAATGTTCACACCCTTATATTTCAAAATGAATGTAAATCCTAGAACTCCATGGAAGGAAAAACACAGATCATAAATCCAACTACTTTCTTTGTTCAACATTTTTACTTATCGGACTCATAAATATCATCTGAACCTAAATAATAAATGTGTAGACCATTCCTTCTAAAGCCATTCATTGGTCTTGGTCGACAGAAAAACTCTTAAATTTGAAAACTCCTACATATTTAACTCTTGGTGTAATTTTGTTACATTTTTTCCTGCTTGCCTTTTCCCTAAACAAGGGTAAATGTCTTCTTATTTGTTGCTGGTTTGGGTGAGGGTAAGACTGTACACCAATACATTTTACATAAGAACATACTGTCTTCTTCAATTAGCACACATAAAATTAAGTACTAGTGGTCAGTGAACCATCTCTATGATTTATGAGATCAGAAAACTGAAAGGGCAAGGGAACACATGAACATAAAGGTCCAATATCTAAAGAATGAAATAAAGATCTTTGTTTCTATTTCCTTATAGAAATTGAAGATCAGGAAATCTTACCCATGGAAGTGGCTGTTCTACACCTAACCCAGAGCAAGGTTTAAGTAACTGGAATGGTGCTAGCCAATGGCTAGTTAAACACACACAGGTACTCGTCTGAATTCAAAGATGGTCCATGAGAGCTCTGGTTGTGCATCCTATTACTCTACCATAGAAGCTCTTTTTCTGAGATTTCAATAACAGCCACATTGCTCATGGCAATGGCCTCTGCAGGCTGAAGTGGTATTTGGAGTGACTAGTACAATTTCAGGCACCATCTGAAATCTAACACTGATTCCTCGCTGCTTGTTGGATTGCAGACCTTCTTAAGAAACTCTGCCCTGAAGTGAGCATAGGTGCATATATATAATTTTACATAAAATATAATGCACTTTCCTGAATTCCCCAAAGCCTTTTTTTAGACCCCAAGATCTTGCCCTACGATATCTTCCTCTATCATCAAATCATGATTTTTTTTCCTATTCACCTTTATATTCCAAGCTAACTATGTTAGACCATTAAAAGAAATACTGGATAGGACTGCAATATTTGCCAAGGTGATTCCTAGGGGAACATTAACAATAAAGTTGGGCTCTGGCTGGTGTGGCTCAGTTGCTTTAGCATCGTCCCGTACACTGAGAGGTGCTGGTTCCATACAAGGTCACAGCAAATGCCCAGGTTTTGGGCTCTTTCCCCAGCAGGGGGCGTGTAGGAGGCATCCAATCAATGTCTGTCTGTCTCTCTCTCTCCCTTTTCCTTCCTCTCTCTCTCAAATCAATAAAAATGTATTAAAAATAAAAATAAATAAAGTTGGTATTGCAAATATACAAAGACAGAAAGTAAATTAGTTGGTTACCTAGGGCAGGGTTAGGTGGGGAGATGAGAAATGACCTCTAATGGGCACAGGGTGTTTTTTGTTTGTTTTTTTTTGAATGATGTAAATGTTCTAAAATTAGAATGTAGTGATGGTTGTGCAACATTGTGAATATACTTAAAACCATTGAATTATACACTTTAAATAAGTAGATTTCATAGTATGTAAATTATATGTCAGTGAAGCTGTTTTTTAAAGTTGGTGTTATAAGAGCCCTGGCCAGTGTTGCTCAGTTGTTTGGGCATCATTCCATGCACTGAAAGGTTGCTGGTTCGATTCCTGGTCAGGGCACATGCCTGGGTTTCGAGCTTGATCCCTGGTGGGGAGTGTGCAGGAGGCAGCTGATCAATCTCACATCAATGTTTCTCTCTCTTGCTCTCTCTCTCTCTCAAAACCAAAAAAAAAAATATTAAAACAAAGTTGGTGTTCTAAGAAAGGAACAAAATGGCTCAGCAGGAACTTACAATAAACTTCATATGACTGAAGCTATGTGTGGCCTCCTTATTGTCTTCAGTGACGAAGGAACTAGAGGAATTTTAATTAAAGGTCATTGGAGTTTTTCTTATCCTGGGAAACTATGGAGACTATGTGTCCAGGTCTCCTGAAGGCTGTGGAATGTGGAGGGCCACCCATAAGAATAAAGAGCACCGGCTTGATCCAATAGGATCTCTGCCTAACCCAATATTCGGTTTATGAGACGATTCAATAGGGAGACGATGGCTGCCCTCCATGACACTGCTTTGAAGGTTAGGAATATGACACCAATTTCCCCAAATCCCTTTTCTTAATACACTATGAATTGTTGACTAATACATTTATCTAAGTCCATGTTGAATCAATTTATAGTTTCAGCTTGTTCTAACAAGTTCCATATGCTTCCCAATTTGCTTTGGATGATTTGAGTGTAATTTTTGTGTGGAGGCAGAGTCTGGCTCAGAGAACCGTGAGGTCCCCATGTCTCATTCTCACCACTCCCTTCTTCATGAGGCTGTCAATGCCTCCTTTTATTTATTTTTAAAAATATTTTTATTGATTTCAGAGAGGAAGGCAGAGGAGAGAGAGATCAATGAAGAGAGAGAATCATTGATCAGCTGCCTCCTGCATGTCCCCCACTGGGGATCAAGCCTGGGGAATCAAACCTGGGACCCTTCAGTCCGCAGGCCGACGTTCTATCCACTGAGCCAAACCAGCCAGGTCAAAGCCTCCTTTTAAAATAGGGGTAAGAGTTTCCAACTCTCCTTTATCACTTCCACTACCTCCTGATTCTAACTTGGAAAACTAAGCTAATTAGTATAGCACAACGGTATAATGAATACAAGCAACAGTCATGGGTCCCTGGGACATCATCTCAGTACACAGACATGGCCACCTTCACTAAGTCTTAGGACTCATCCAGTTCAAAGAGAAAAAACTATGTTGCCCAAGGTCACATAACCAGCCAGTGGGAAAACCAATAAGTGACATGTCTTGATTCCCGACCATTCCGCTTTCGAAACTACCAGACTGCCTCCTGAACTCACTGGAACACTCATCTCAGCCCTGCCAGCTTCTCTTCTGATTTATTTGTGATTTGACCCAGCACTGACCTCACCATCCTGTCTGGTTTCACCCATGTCTGCTTCATCCTGGTCAGGCTCAAACTCGGTGCCCCGGTCAACAACATCCACGCCAGCCTGTACCCTGGGCTTCTCATTTTCCCACTTGGCAAAGCCTTTGTCCTTTGCTGCTTTGTCGTGGAACTTGGATTTCATTTTGGGGAAGGTGTGGGACCCTGAGTCTCCCCAGCCAGCCTCTGACCATACAGGCTCAGTCTGGGTGGCCTGGCTGGTGGTGGCCCGCTGCAGCCTCACGGAGATCTTGCGAGAAGAGCCTGTGACCAGAGTGATGGCTCTGCTGTCCAGGTCTTGGTGTCCAGCAGCGACGTCAGGGAACTCGAACACCTCATCCTGCACTGCAAGGGGAAAAATTATTGTGATTATTTGGCATCTGATTGCTTCGGAGCAAACCATCGAAGTTGGTACAAACAACAGGAGTCTGACAGGTCAGGTCCCACAGCAAGAGGCCAGAGGCAGAATGAAATTGGCTTCAGGTGAATTGCATGCTAGACCTGAGAGCAGAGAGAAGTGAGGGAACTCAAGGCCGTAGCCACTGCTGCTCACCCTGAAGAATGCCTTGGTGTTTATGACTCTGACCAGGTTATGTCCAGAACTCAACTGAGGTCCAGGTGTGGGAAGGGGAGCAGAGAGAAACGGGGGTAGTAAAGAAAGAAGAGGACATTACCTGGGGGCAATGAGGGGCTTCCAGGCAGCGACCCATGACCACTGCCCAAGGAGGGGGCCCGGGCAAATCTCCTGCAGGCCAGAACCAGGAGGTCTTTGCACTGCTTGTGACAATTGGCTCCGCAGTCTGAAAAATCCCAAAGCATCACCGACGGTTAGTGAGAACCAAGTGCCTCTGGTGCTGACTGGGTGTCTAGGGTTGCACTTGAGCTGTTCACCCTCCCCTCCCCCATCCTGGATTCTGTGTTGACTCTCAGCCCGATTCAGGCTCACAGGGTATGTCTAGGGGCTGGAAAAGGGCCAGTGGGGCTCTTGCCAGTCTGGAATCCCTGTAGTTCGCTTATATTTGTTCAGCTTCTTTTTCTACACAGTTCATTGAGGTGCTGGGAGCCAAGCAGGGACTAGGTTGGGTGAGGAGTTGCCTTTGCCTCAAACTAAATGCAAGTCACGTGAGCCCGGGGGTCTTTCCCAGGCCATAGATTCCCCACAGAGAGGCAGAATGGGGGCCGGAAGTAGAGTCTGTGAAATTTCCCATTAGAATGCTTTACTTTTTAAAAAAGCAGAATATTAATTGCTACTTGGTGTAGAAATTTTTTGTCTGATGCCAGTCCTACATTTCCCTTAGATTCACTGAGCAGATAGGATAATTTTAAAGAGTATATTTCTCTCTTACCATCAGGGGACCTAATGATTTTCAATACCTATTTTCCCCAAATGGTCTTATTTCAAATGGTCTTGTAATGAATGACATCACAGAAAGATCAAGTTGTAATGACATGTTCAGTCTATTTTAGTTTTTTCACTCTCTGTGCCTTTAAGAGAAAACGCCATCTGTTCAAAGATGATCCAAGAGTTTAACTGATACTCATCTTCATAAAATTGTGTGTGTGTGTGTGTGTGTGTGTGTGTGTGTCTTTTAGGGTACAAGGGACAGAACCAGGATAAAACTAATGGGCGTAAGATACTGGAGTATCTTTGCTGCTTGAAAGTAAAAATCCAAGTTAGACTAAGACACTGATACAAAGAACTAAAGGGAAGAATTTTGAGCACTAAAATGTGGCTCCCACTGAGATTCAGGAAAGTGTTCTGTTCATGCAAAATGAGGGCAAACACTGAAAGACTAGAGAAAAAAGCATCACAAGGGACCAAGAGTCATCTGAAGGCATCCTGTGATCAAGATGTCTCTTTCTGTTGTTTTGTGGGAGGCAGTTAGACAGACATGAGCAGAGCCAGGACAATGGGCCAGGTACAGAAGCCACCAGGGTGGAAAGCCCTGGGTGCCTAGCAAAGGCAATTACAGAATGGGACCTCGTGCCCAGGGTGACCTTTCCTCCCCTAGCACATTGGTGGTCATGCGATTTGGATCCTCTGGCCTTTCCTCCCTAGAGATAACATCCTGGCCTCAGTTGTATTTCAGCTCCATCCAGAAAAGCAGCAAAACCAGACCAGTGACCCCAAGGCTGACCTCAGGACCCACCCTTAAACCCTTAAGATGGAGGACCCAGCCCACTCTCCCTTCAGGGGGCCCTGTGGAGCCTTTCCCTTCCTCCTCTCCTCCCTCCCCCTCCCCCCAGGCAAGTCACCTTTACCTTCCTCACTTCTAAGCTCCCAGGGCCCTTCTTTTGTCTCTATAACTTGTTTCCTAAGCCCATTTCTTCTATGAATTACTTCTCCTACTTCTGTGATTTTTCACATAAATGTTCTCTTACAGTTGGAGTCTTGGCTCTGAATTCCTTCCTAGCCAGAACTCAAGTACCGAGGTTGCTGAACCCAGGTCTGGTCCGACCCCACCAGTCTAGCACCTGATGCCGTTCCCACCGCCGCCTACGGTTATATTATGTTTTTCAAGAGCATGATCAGGTTCTTAAAAGAACCAGTACAAAGAGTCTGCATAAAATATTCAGCAATTTCTTAAATCAAATATCAATCCTGTATAATAATCACGTTACAAGCAGCAAACACAGTCCTAAATGCCTAGCAATTTGCATGTGTTTACAGTCATCACACATGTATTTATTCAGTTCATATATTTTAACTAAATGGGGGAGCTATGTGAATTGATTCATTGAAAGGGACAAACGTACATTTTAAGGTGTCTCTTCTCATCAATATCTGTGACTTACGAGGGAAAGGAATAGCTGTGTGAGAGTGGAAAGCAATGCATATGTATTGATTATGTGTGTGATTTCCCCCTGAGGGATAAAGTTCTTACAATGCAGCAGTTCAGCGAGGCCTGTCCCACTTCAGAATTCCCACCTTCTTTGATGTGTGCTGATAATGATGAGCATGATATCTTAGACGTGGGGGCTAGATGGATGCGGGCTGATAGAAGTGTGTGCTTCCTCTTCTAACAAGCTATGAAAACCCAGGCTGGGCTCTCCCAGACTCCAGGGAGTCCTTTCCTAGACACGTTAACTCCTCAGTTGCCAGTGGCCCCAAAGACCCAAGTTCTCCTTCATGCCAAGAGCTTTTGTGGTTTCATCAGACAAATTTGATTCTTGTCCCAAATGTCACCAGTAAAAAAATGTTAACAGAGTAACATGTATTTACCTTTGCATTTGTATCCTTGCTTGATAATGCCCCAGAGCTGTAACAAAAGACAAAGGGATGTCAGGGAATCTGAAGAAAAATCTGGAAAGAAAACAAGGCCCCAAAGAAGGAAGTCCTGGGAAGCGTGATGACTAGTGGAGCACAAACAGGATGTAGCTGCCCCTGACACCCTTCCTGTCAGATAGACGAACCCTCCCCCAGCCCGCTCCAGCTGGGGTGATAACAGGAATTCTGCTTCCCTTTTCTGTCTGGGAGCCAAATGGGAGCTGGGATGGGAAACTGACGTTGGTGCATTTATTGGACTTTAGCACCTGCGCTCTCAGCAAAATTCACGGGGGAGACTTTTTCTGTCTTTGGCTTTCATTTTATTCATGCTGCTCTAGGTGCCCGTTGCAGGGAATTAAGCGACCTAAGCAGTGCACATCCCACTAAAGCATTTATATTTTGCCAGGTTATTTTCTGAGTAACATTAGTACTTCAGCAGAAGAGGAAAGGATCTACTATTTATTCGTGTATTCATTCTCCGCATTTGCTCAGTGTTTGGCCTGAGCCAGAGCTGAGGGTGGGGGTGAGGGATGAAGGATGCAGAAAAGGCTCAGATTCTGCCAACCAAGTAGGAAGTGAGATGCAGGAAGCGACAGAGCATTTGCCCAGGCAGTTCCGGGACATCTTCCTGGTGGCGTCATACTGGAAACTGTGAAGAAGGGGCTTTCCCATGTTCTTTCTGTGCCGGTCACAGCACTTGCATGTGGGTACCAGGGACACCAGGAACATACAGTGTGGATGAATGAAATGGGCTGAGTTTAAGCTGAAGAAGCTCCCTCCGAACCTTTTAATGGTTAGGTTAGGTGACTGATATCTACTTAATAAAATAATTTTGAAAGAAGCCGGGCCGGTGGCCGACTGGGGCTGATGGAGATGTCATTCACAATGCACTACAGGGGAACAATGCCCTGAGTGTAGGCATTATGGCCCTCTGATGAGAATAAGTAGCCGCCAATGTGAAGTGATGCAAGGGCATTATAAAGGCTGCTCCTTACCCTCCTTCTGACAAGAAAATCCCTCCAGTGGAGAGTGATTCCTTTGAGCCTTAAAAGTTATTTGGTTCTTCAGATTACATTATTAAGTTGCAAATGACTCCTGGGACAGGGCAACCTGTTACCTTGGGGACAAGAAGGATTATTAAGACAACTGATTGGGCCCAGCCGGTGTGGCTCAGTAGTTGAGCATGACCTATGAACCAGGAGGTCACAGCTCAATGTTTGATTCCCAGTCAGGGCACACGCCAGAGTTGCGGGCTCAATCTCCAGTTGGGTGGGAGGGGTGTATAGGAGGCAGCCGATCAGTGATTCTCTCTCATCATTGATGTTTCTACTTCTCTCTCCCTCTCCCTTCCTCTCTGAAATCAATATATATATATATATATATATATATAACAACTGCCTGGAAGCAAGGCCTGGGGTGCCTAGGGTGACTGGGCAAGGGCGGGAGGAGACAATACAGCAATAGCAAGTGGGTGGTCAGGGCAGAGACATCATGTCAGAGCCATAAGGACCATCAAGATAATCTCTTTTGTTCCTTTTTTATAATAGGTAAGTGTGATGATCCAGGAAATTAAATAAGTTGCAAGGTCCCATGTCTGGGAAACTTTGTAGTGATAAGAAATTGTTACCTCATTGAGTCCTCGGTAATAGCACTAACAATAATAATAAGGATAGCTAAGGTATATTGGAGTCTTGCTATGGGAGAAGCACAGTTTTAAGCTCTTTATGTGTATTAACTCATTTGATGCTCACAATCTCCCTGTGGGATAGGAAATAATAATTTCCTCATTTTTACAGATGAGACTGGGCTACAGAGCGGTGAATTCAGCTGGCAAGGTCTCATAGCTGGTAAGCAGGGAAAGAACAATGTGTCACTTGGAAGAAAGACAGGAAGCCACTGCTCCTGGGTGCCTGTGTGGGGACCAAAAGCCACTGATTTAGGACAAGAAAGGATAAGCGTTAGGAAGCATCCTACTATCCGGGTAGGACACGTTGTTAGCATAGCTGCAGGAACTGCTGAAGGAGATACACGCAGGAGGGGAAGTCAGGGTATTGACTTGTTGCCTCCTTGCTTAGCAACTAGGAGACAACACTGGGCAGGAAGAGGCTCTGGGTAGTGAGCCAGCGAAGGACAAGGAGAGGGTGGCCTCATGTAGATGAGTGAGTAGGAGTACTTCCCACAGTCCTTTGATTGGAGACCTCAGGCTGCGGTAACATTTGGGGGATTGATTGTGATGTAAGGAGCACTGGACCGGGAGTCAGGAGACCTGCAGATGAGTCACAGACCTGCTGCTAAGGTTCCATGTGACCTTAGGGAAGTCACTTAACTTCTCCAGACCCTGAAATAAGGGAATTCGCAAAACTCTTTCAGTTCTGGAATTCTAATTTTAAAATAAGTGTATTTTAAATACTGTCTGTTTATCTTTCTTACCCTTAAAATGGAATTTATTTCGAAAGCAGGTGGTCCAGTCACTGATAATTGGTTCCTTACATTCCCCTACAAAGCCTTTCAATGATATATCTAGAGAGTTTTATTTATTTTAAATAAGTTTATATTGATTTTAGAGAGAGAGGAAGGGAGAGGGAGAAGCATCGATATGAAAGAGAAACATCAACTGGCTGCCTCCTGTACACTCCCTGCTGGGAATCGAGCCCAAAACTCTGGCATGTACCCTGACTGGGAATCAAACTAGAGACCTTTTGGAACACAGGCCAACGCTCAACCAACTAAGTCACACCAGCCAGGGTGAGGGTTATGGTTATAAATCCCTTTGAAACCAACGGGCTTTTTAAAATGTTTGTGAGTAAAGATCAAATCAAATTGTAGCAACGATTAAATATCTTTTGAAAAATAAAATAGGGACATTACAATTTTAATGATTTAATTTCCATTAAACTCCAAAAGTATCAAGGAACACTAAAATATATAAAATATATATTTACTCTGAGCTATGTGACACACAACATGACAGGTAAGTATTAACCTCCTTTACAGATAGGAAAACAAAGAGATGGTCCATAACTTGGTCAAGAACAAAGAGTTAATATAAGAGACAGAGGTGAGATTCAAAGCCAGGATTCCTGACGCCAAGTCCAGAGCTTTCTACCTCCTCACAGCTGCAATTGCAGCTGCATCAAGAACCTAGCGTCTGATGAGCTGGGGAGAGGAGTGTGGATGCACCCCGGAAACACTGCCTTGTTGTTTCTATAGAACTGGTGACAGTCCTTTTCATAGTCCTTTTCATGGAGAGACATCCGGAAGGACTGGAGAGCAGAGATAAGCTCCTGAGATTTGATACGGGTCTTCCAACTCTCACAACACACCAAAGGACAGACATCTCAAACTGACTTTCGGCTGATCTGTGCCATGGCCCAACAGGTTCGCTGAGCCCCACTCTGCAACTGAGAGCTACACATGGCCTCATCCCACTTCAGTACTTTTCAGGTATACAAGTGTGCAAAAATTCCCACCAGAAGAGAGAAACACAAAAAAGGAGACAGATTTCTTTTATGATAAAGTGGTATGGGAATGCAATTCCAGTGGTGAAGCTCATAGAAGCTCTCTTTCCCTCGGGGTGGGGGGGAGACGGGGGCAGAGAGCTTGTTAGGCTGGACTTGCCCTTGACAACAACAACTGCTGTGACCAGTTGGGGCCATCTTTGAGGTAACCACTGCCTCTTATTTATCCATTGTCAGAGTGGTATGTGCTTAAACACAGAATCCTGCCTTTGGGGCCTCTCACAGCTAGTTCTTCAAGAACGGGATGGGGAAAATGTAATTTAGTAATAGCATATACTATCAGCTGTGAATTCAATATGGGTCAGCAGTGGGACTTGACGGCTGAATGAAGCTAACATAACTGAGCCAGGAGCAATAATCATATTCACTTGGCTGCTGGGCCACTCTTATGTAGAGGACCACATTTTCCATCTGATTATAACTTGGGTATCAACTAGAAGATGTCCAGGGCACAAAAGTCTTTGTTTAATACCAGGATCAAAGCTGACCTTAGTTTCCAAAGACTTATCAAATGTGGGGAAATGAAGTGTGTAATCTTCATTTGTTGCAGTGGAGTGGGTAGAGCACAGGATTTAGGTCAGAACATCTGCATTTGAGTCCTGGCTCTGGTCACTATTGGCTGTGCAATCCTGGGAAACGTGGGTTAGCCTCTCTGGACCTCCTACCTTCACAGGCAAATAGGGAGAGTCAAATGCCCATGTCACAGCTAGTAATGAGGATTAATTACACTAATGTCTACGGAAGTATTTCAAGTGCTGGGTAAATGTTATATCCATCCTCTCTCCAAAAAGGTCTTTTTCCTTTTTGAGTTATAAATTACTGAGCCATGCCATGATGGATTTCTAGTGACTGACACCATATGAAATAAGAACTGTGAGGAACTGGCTAAGATGAATACCCTCCTTAATTGCACCACTTATGATTATTAGTGATGAATGCCAGGGCTCATTGGGTGGAACGTTTCCCTGGCAGGGATTAAGTAGGAGAAATTGCTCACTCGAGTTAACAGGCTCACCAGTCTTCCTTATCTTGGCTAGCCCTGCATTCCTAGAAAGAACATAACTAAACCTGCAGATCTTGCTTTTGTTTTTTTATTTAATTTTTATTTTTAGGGAGCCACCATGTTTAACTTCTGATCCAAGGCAGTCAACGGGTTCTGTTTGGTGAGCCTTCTCAGAATGCGGCACAAATAACTACAGACAAGAGGAACCAATGGGAGACAGACTTACAAATCCTGCACAGTGTTCGCAGAAGGTTGGCTTGAGATAGGTCATCTCCTGAAAATTATGGATAAATCCTGGTCCCATTTTACAGTGTAGTTGGGACTTAGCTCTCAGGAAGTAAGCCATCATTTCATCTTTACTAATTAGGCCATCCCTGTGAAGAGAATCAAAGAAGGGAGGGATCTTTGAATACCATATTGCAAAGTGGTTGTCATACTTTAATCATTTACTCCTCCAAATCTATGTGGCTGAAAGCAGGTGAGGAAGGTTCACTTCTCTGCTACATCTGGAAGGAGGAGAGGGCCTCTCATAGGTTTGAAGTGCCAAAGGCTTTCTTAGTAAGCAGAAGATGTGTGTGTGTGTGTGTGTGTGTGTGTGTGTGTGTGTGTGTCCTGTGCACCATAGCACAGAAAGTCTCCTTTATTACTAAATAGGAGCTTCCAGAAGGACATCTCCTTTCTACCCCTTGCCTTGCAACAGAGTTTGCAAGAATCAGACTGCAAGAGGAAGGCAGAGAACTGATCATTGGACCCACCATTCTCATGTCTACTCAGTATGATGCCATGCAAGCCACTGCCATTGGTAACCCTCTCTTGGAGTCATCCTCTCTCAGAGGAAGTCCTTCTCCCATCCCCCCTCTCCAGCCTCCCCAGGTTCTGCTCCCTCTCTCCACCCACTCCTCCTCTGTTTACCGATATGCTCAGGACTTCCTTCCTAAAAATGTCTTTCCTCAGTCGTGATGCCATCTCCTATACTTGTCTTTTCTCTCTTTCTTCTCAAATTCCAAAAGTTTTCAAAAAGAGTATTCATTAGACATTTTTTTCCATTCCTTCCATTACTCTTTACACCAGATGATCAGGTTTCTAACCTTACCATTCTATTGAAACGGTCACAATGACAGCCTCAAGTAGCCTTTTCTCATTCATTGAGCTTGTTCACCTGCGGGCGGCATGTGACAGTGTCTCCTCCAGGGATGCCTGTGTTTCCCTCCCTTTTCACGATCCTCCTTCTCTGGCTCTTCTGCAGGACCCACTTCTTCCTTTTAGCTTCTACATGAGGGGAGGGGAGCCCCCGAAATCACACCTCGGGCCCCGTCTCAGCTCTTATGCCTGGGACTCCAGCTTACTCCACTGGGCTGAAGACATCACACTCTACATCTCCAGCCCTGACTGTTCCCCTGGATTTTGGTGCTACATCTGCAGCAACCTGCTAGACAGGGGTGGGCAAACTTTTTGACTCGAGGGCCACAATGGGTTCTTAAACTGGACCGGAGGGCCGGAACAAAAGCATGGATGGAGTGTTTGTGTGAACTAATATAAATTCAAAGTAAACATCATTACATAAAAGGGTACGGTCTTTTTTTTTTTTTAGTTCATCTCCAGCCCTGACTGTTCCCCTGGATCTTGGTGCTACATCTTCAGCAACCTGCTAGAATCTCTTCCTGGATGGTCCACTTTCCTCTCAAAATCAACATCTTTGACTGTCTGACCAAAGAAATCATGTAAGCTATGAATACTTCAAACCTTCATTTTTTGGGGGAAAAAATATATATCTGCTGGGAAGTCTCAGTTCCATCTAAAATATCAGCAGAGAACAAGAAATAAAGACTGGGAAATGATTTTAAGTTTATGTCCTATGTATGTGCTACTCATAGAAACAAACAAAGGGAAGAAGTGGGCAGCTTGTGGGTAACTTAACTTTCATAAAGGAAGTTTTTATTTTTAGTAATTTAATTCATTTAAAAGTATTATTTGTTCTAGATATACAATAAAGATGAATTAAGTTTTTAAGACATTTATGATAAAGTACCAAGGCTTTCCTTGGTATGTTGAACTACATACAGCTTTAATTTTTAAAAATTTCTTACACCAACAAAAATATTAAAGGAATTTAATATGATATAATGTGGACATATCACCAGTATAAAACCCAGCATTTCATTATGGATGGTTTTTAAACTATGAATTAATCTCAGATAATTAAAAATTGATCAAATTATTAATCCCAGGCTTTCTTGGATATTATTTTTTAATCATTTTTTCAATGAGCTGGATTTTAGCCTCTACACTCATTTAATTTTTCAAGAATTACTTGAAGATAAACAAATTTTTGTTGTTGTTTATCAAGACAACCTTTGAGCCGGCAAAGGAAAAACAAAAAAGGATAGGTGTAGTCTTGGCTATCTGCAGCCATAACCTGCTCTCATTAAAACCACAAACAATCAAAAAGTAAAAAATAAAAATCTTACTTTCTTGGTGAGTTTGAAGATTGCCTGCAGGTTCGCTGATGCTGAGGTCTGTATCAGGCCAGCCCTAACACTATTTCTCCTCTACTTTTTTGATGGAGGTTTCGGGGTTGATGAACTAGCTAAACGGTAGAAATAATGTGGGAAATGGAGAGCTGGGCTAACTTGCAAGTGGGCGCTTGTACTCAGCACTGAGGATGTGAACTGTCCTGCGATTCCATCCAACCAGTCATGTTCATGGTCACCAAGAGAAAATTCAGTGAAACGTTAGATTCAGCAACGCACTTGGATGGAAGCTGTCAAGATGTAAACGAACCATTTCCTTGTTCTCTTTTGATAAAAATTTTCTGCTTCAGGAAAGTTGCATTAAAATATAACAAAATCAACACTTACTGATCTTTGTCCAGCACACAGAAGGAATCCAAGAAGGGAAAATTGGCAGCTATACTTTCAAAGTCCTCTTGGGAGATGTACCCATCATGGTCATGGTCATAGTTTCTAAACACAGACTACAAAGGAAAGACAAATATTTATTGAATGACCACTTATAAGTCAGGCTCTGAACTTCTTATTGGGAAAGCAATGATGACTAGCATATTATTCTTTCCATCAAGAAGCTTAGAATCTCATGGGAGATTAAAAAAAATCAAGAGCCTTTATGGTATAACTAGATAAGTGCAATGCTAATGATAAAAACAGTGCTATGGGGTGGGAGAAGTGGCCTTAAAAAGGTTTCCCAGAGAAAATAGGTCTAAACTGATACCTCAGGGTTGAATTCACAAATGCCAATACCACGACAATAGAAAATAAAGCTATAAAATGTGAAACTTTTCAAAATTTAAAGTATGCTTTGAATGCAACTCCAATCAAAGTCCCAGTGGGAATCATTTTAAGTGAACAAACTAATTCTGAAGTTCAAACAGAAGTGAAGGCATTGAGAACGGCCTAAAATTGTTTGAGATAAGAACTAATGAGGCTGCCGCTATCTTGGTTCTGTGGTCCCCGCAAAGATGTTCAGTGAAGCCACAGAAACCTCCCTGCTACAGAGCAGGAGTTGCTACAGCTCAGGCTGAGACAGGGTCCAGAACAGAGGCTGGCAGTGATGAATCAGTACCAGAGCTGGAGGAACAAGATCCCACACAGGCCGCCACACAACAAGCCCAGCTGGCAGCAGCAGCTGAAATCCATGAGAACCAGACAGCAAAGCAAAACAGAGGCAAAGTGAAAAGAAGGCATGGAAGGCTATGTCCAAAGGGAATCTTCGACAGGTTACAGGGGTTCCTAGGGTCACTATCTGGAAATCTAAGAATATCCTCTTTGTCATCACATAACCATCTATATATATAAAAGCCCAGCGACTGGACTGGCAGAATGACCAGAACGAAAGGAATGACCGGTGGCTATGACGCATACTATGGCAGCCAACCAGCCTGATCCAGGCCCCAATCAGCCCCCCTTCCCCTGGGGGCTGGTCCCACCCCCAATCAGCCCCCAATACCTTGATCAGGGGCGGGGTCGGCTGGCCAACCATCCACAACCTCTCCCCCCATCTGACTCGGCCCAATGGACCCCCATCATGCACGGCTGACCCCACCTGTGCACGAATTCATGCACTGGGCCTCTAGTATGTCTATAAGAGCCCAACTTCAGATACCTACACAGTTTGGGGGAAGCTGAGATCCAGGATTTATCTCAGCAAGCACAGCTAGGAGCTGCTGAGAAATTCAGAGTTCCAGGTGAAGCTGTCTCAAACATTCAATAAAACAGACTCTAACTGTACGAGAGGAGAGTGAAGAGAAAGAGGTTGATGAAACAGGTGTGGAACTTGAGGACACAGAATTGGTCATGTCACAAGCAAATGTTTCCATTTTCCCTACACTGGCACCGCTATTTATTTATTTATTAAGATTTTTATTGATTTCAGAAAGGAAGGGAGAGGGAGATAGAAACATCAATGATGAGAGAGAATCATTGATTGGATGCCTCCTTCATGCCCCCTATTGGGGATTGAGCCCACAACCCAGGCATGTGCCCTTGACCGGAATCAAATCTGGGACTCTTCAGTCCACAGGCTGACACTCTATCCACTGAGCCTACCCGGTTAGGGCTGCTACTCCTCCTTCTCTATGGAAAGTTCTGACGGAGCCTTGCCCTTCATTCAGTGATGTTTCTTACCTAAATGGCATTGTGCTGCTGTGTCCCAGGCCCCCAGATGCCTACAGCAAGAACAGCTATCCAACTTACAGGATCTTTTCCTACTCTCAGGTGGCCAGTGTATGGGGCATGTTATTGTGACCCATGTGGGTTTTGAATGAGTAGATTGTCCCAAACAGCCTCTCAAGTTGCAGGGGCGATGACAGAAGTGTCAAGTGCTGGAGAAAGAAAGGAACTGAAAGTAGCTGTATCTGGGCACATGAGAATAGACTAACAAGAAGGAGAAAGGGGGCCTTTCTTGGAGACTGCCCCAGGAGGCTGATGTCAGGTTGAGCTAAGTGTCTGTTAAATTGTTCCTACCTGCTGGGGCGAGGGTACTGTTTTCATGGACTCCAGTTGATTCCTGGGCAATCAAAGAATATTCTGAAAAGAGAAAGGGGCCTTCTAGTGCTCACTCTTAACACTCCTTCATCTACTTACCTCAACTAATTTCCTTATGTGCTTGTTGATGACTGTGGGGTCTGGCTTTGGCACCACTCCTGATGCCCACTCCAGGGGCACCACGGGCTTGGTAGGCGTTGTAGGGGAGGTAGGCTGCTGACAGAAAACACACACATTTTTCAACTTTATCTGGGGCCTTGAACAATTAGGACGAGGGACACTGAGAAAGACATATATCTTTTGCATATTAATAATCCCAGTAAAAACTTACATGTATGCAACACTTAAATATTTTGAAAACAAACATCTTTTATCAATGGACTCTAATCTGTAACGAAATACATGTTGGAATAGTGCATTCTGTTTAGCAGGAACCTAGATTCTATTATTTTAAATGGAAAAAAAATAATTGCTCTCCCAGCCCATCCAAAAATCCTATCCAAGTTCTCCAAATATTACAAAAACATCCTTAAACCCCCATAGAACAATCCATACAGATTTCTATATAATACAAAATATGTGAAACACCAGAAACCTAATTCTTTAATACTTGGTGCTAGTGACAAATTAGTAGGTGTGTGCAGTAAATGGTTGCCAGTGGTTGGCCAAGTTTATGTCCTTATACTGGCATCTCTCTTAATACACTTAGACTGTTTGTCTAATTATTAGGTCCCTATAGCCCTCTTTTGTGAGCTTTCTACACAGGTTTTTCCATATTCTTGCAAGACATTTTCACTTAATAATGTGGCGAAGATGTTGACGATAACGCATAACATGTTTACACAACACAAGTGAAAAACACAATCCTACCGGGAGACCAGCTGTTCCGTTTCCATCCTCTCCCTGGGACCCCACAGAATGTAAATATTTTGGCTGCTGCACACATGCAAACTTGTACTGACAGGTGTGTTGTTGTTTTTTTGATGCTAAATTGGGGATAAACATTTTTGCAAGAGGAATTGAGGAGTAAATGGACTGATTTAAGCCCCTAAGAATGTGGTGAGGTGGGTGTTGGTGGCATCCTGTGGGCTACCCACGGGACCAAAAATGACCTGCCCCCTGGATACGGTCACTCCCACTGACAGTCACTCACACACACATCTGCACACGTGATGGCTCTTCCTAGCAAGCTTTTCATTTCGTTGATCTGACCAAGGATGAGCCCACAGTTCCCAAACTGTACAGCAAGGTACCCTGTCCACAGTACTGCAGAGAACTCAGAGGGGTACCAAAAGATATTTCAAACTTCCAAGGGAAATACAGTGATACCATTATCTGTCAGACCCCACACAAACTACCAGCTTGAAGTAGTGCGCCGGCCGCCCATTGGACAGTGCCACACTGCTGTCAGTGGTATCCGGCCCCGAAGCAAAACGTCAACGTGGAACAAGAAATAAGGGTGGCGGTTTCCAATCGGATTCCAACACTTAAGAACTTGTACAGAGCCCGAGAGGCACACACATCCATTAGTAAGTAACTGTGGTTATTTATGAATGAAATAAAAAAATGTTTTTATTTCAATATATGTGTATTTTTTTTTTCAATTGGGCACTATGCTGTTAGAACATAAATATTTATTAAGATGTTTGGACTTATTCTCTAAGTGGAACTGTTACGTATGTTGTTGATCTCGAGGTCGTGTGAAAAATCAGAGACACAAAGTAAAACACAAAGATCCAGTGAGGCACGAAGGGTCCCACGAAGAACAACAGAAAAAGGTTCTGAGTGGAGCTGGCTGTTTAGTAGGCGAGGTTGGCCAGCACCGGCGGGGAGCACATCAAAGCCAGAGGCTCTCAGGAACATAGTGCTGACTGCACCTCGCTCTCCCGTGATCAGCACGTGTCAAACACTAAGCACACAGTAGGGTGGCATTCCATTAAGAGGAGAGACAGAAAGGGACTGGGAAATGTGGTTTATAGACTCACAGGACTTTAGCACGTGGAAGGGGCTTTGAAAGTTTCTTCTTTTACAAGAAGACCTTTCAGTGTTTGAGGGACATGTCTCCCCAAATCGGCAACAACTTGAAATCCTGAAAGGAAACTAAAGTAGATCTAAAGAGCACAAAGCAGGCAAGCGTGCTGACATGGTTGACCCGCTCCTGTTCCCGCAAGGGGTGGTGGGAAAATGATGGGCGGCGTCCGCAGTAGAAAAAGCACAGACTGGTAGACGGGGGGCATGAAGCCAAATCCCAGTTCTCCTTTTTACCAGAGACCTATGCTCACCAGACTCAGTTTCCTTAACGGAGTTAACGAGATAACATGTATATGATGCCTGCCAGGCATCCAACAACCAACAGGTATCAGTGAAGGTACCTGGTTATAGGTAAAGGAAGGAGTTGGAGGTTGAAATGCCGTGTGCACAGGTTACTACAGCCGACTACACCACGGCCAGCTTCACCCCATGAAAGCTATGGAATGAGGAAGGGGCGGGCCAGTTCCTCCTCCCTCCCATTAACTTTGCCTTTCTCTCTAGCTGTCTCTTAGTCATAACTTTGGAGAGTCTGGGTCCTCACTCCTCCCTTTGTCTCTGCTGTATCTTCCCACATGACTCCATTCTGCAGCGTCCCTAGGAGATGGGCCTCGGGGGACTGCAGGGTGAAGAGCTGATGGAACCATCACCCTCACTATTTTAAGAACAGATGCTACCAGGTCAGCTGACTTGGACTCATGTGCATGTCCTGTCAGAGCCCGAGAGCAGCGCTCACAGTCATTCTGCCTCTTCCGGCCTCCCGGTGCGGAATCCCTGCAGGTATTATAGATGGACAGACTTAGGGCTGGAGTTGCTGGCAATGTGCCACAGAGTTCAACTGGTGAGAAGAGGAGCATGAGACCTTTATTAAACTGACCTCAGGATATGGGTATAAGCAGCAAACAGAGACACTTTTTCCTTTAACATGCAAACCATCCTCATTGTGAATTTCAAATTCACCCAGGTCTTTTTTTATTAATCAGTGTAAAACACACCTACGATATAGTCAGTCCACTTGCTCATTCAGTAATGCATTTTACTCAATCTCGTTGTGTAATGTTTCTTTACTAAGAGTCAGCCATCAATTAAGTAAGACACCATCCAAAGTAATATTAAAATTCTGTGCTGAGTCAATCATTATTAGACTTAGCAAAATTCGTGGATGATGATCAGGGTATTGAAAATGTATTAAATCTAATTTTATGTTGAATGGGATTTTTTTAAAAAGCCTGGAAGGATCTTAATGATCTTTAACATTAAAATGAGTTATGGTTCACTTTTTTTGGTCCTAGATGTAGGTGAGTTCTTGGAGGAGACACAACCCATAGAAGATCAATAGTAACACAGAGTAATTGCAAATGATGTTCTTCTTTATTAGCCTATGTAAGGAAATACTTCTCAAACTGTCAGGGCTAAGCTGTGTGACTGCTTAAAAGGGAATAATAGAGATTTTTAAATTCTTTCAATCTTTAGATCACAGAGCACCATCGCAACAGCCAGTTACTGTAAATGACAAACCGCGGTGCTGGGCACTGATTCTCAGAGAGAGAAAGCAATACCTACCGATTTAGAATTTCTAGGTTCCAGCACCAGTGACAGTTTATAAATATCATCTTCTGTATGATAGAGGTCCAGTGAAAGCTACAAGAAATTAGAATGGATAAATAAATATGTTGGCTCATATTTATTTATTTACTTGAATCGCCGATATACTTTTCAAACGGAATGGTTAAGCCAATGTCTAATAATCTGAGTGAAAGCAGAACAGCATGCAGATGGCATGCAGAGGTGGAAAATGAAATTAAAAAGAGGAAAAATAAACCTTGTATGGTCATCAGCATCAATATTGCTTTATCTAGACTTTGTCACCTAAAGGTTTTTCCTGCACATTATAAAATTGACCTTCCTATAAAATTGCCCCGGCATTATTCCAGATCATGAACACCCTGCTCACAAAGAATGTACACTATACCCACCTGCCCCGGAACAACAGTCACTCTCCTCTCCAGGGGCTCTGCCACTTTAAAGGAGAGGACCATCCCACATCACAAACTAATGCCATAAGGAACCAGCCACTATGTAGAAGAGTGAAGTGGGATGTCTGAAAGGGATTTTACTTCAAGAGGATATAAAATTAGGTATTGATTACACATGATAATGGATGATACACAAGCTTCATTCCCATCTACAATTTTATCTGGTACCATAAATCAATTTAATATTGCATAGTGTGTGCCGACAACCATTAATAACCAAATAAACTCCATGATTCTACTTGGTGAGCCTGAAAGGAATATTTTGACAGCAATACTGGCATAATGCATCATATTTGGAAAACAGGTCTTTGCCAGGGTAACTGACTTGGGTGTCTTTCTTGTTAGGTAGACAACAAGGAAAATTTGTGTTAGTGAGTAGAATCTGACACTGGATCTCTGGGGTAAGGAAGCCGTGGGGAATGGTGTGGTCTCTGACGAATGGGAGGCAGCCACTACTGAGCTAGGACAAGCTGTTGTCAGCCTGACAGTTGCCATGTCTTCTGATTTGTCAAAAGGAGCCAGAAATCTGGAGTTTTATATGGGATATCCCAATTTGTAAACACTGGCAACTAATAACAAAAAAAAGTTATGATTCCATGTGAGCCAAATAAAACATATCTGCCGTGGGCAGGTGCTTGCCAGTTTGTAAAATCCACAATAGAAGATTCAGCTAGTCCCCAAGCCTCATGAAAGTGGGCCATGCACCTAGCTTTTCCACCTCTGTAATATCTGCCCAGCGTGTTGCATTGCACTGTGAATGCTCCATACAAAGAAGGAAAACAAATGGATGTCTTCCTTCTGAATTCCTTGTTATTAAGAGTTATATAGTCCATAATATTGTAATAACTATGTATGGTGCCAGTTGGGTACTAGAAATATCAGGGGGAATGCTTTTAAAGATATGATTGTCTAACCACTGTGCTGTACACCTGAAACTAATACAAAATAATATCAAATGTAAACTGTAATTGAAAAAAATAAACTAAGTTAATCATTAAAGAAAAAAAAGAGTTGCCTTAGCTGGTTTGGCTCAATGGATAGAGCGTCAGCCTGTGGACTGAAGCATCCTGGGTTCGATTCTGGTCAAAGGCACATGCCAGGGTTGCTGGCTCAATCCCCAATAGGGGGTGTGCAGAAGGCAGCCAATCAATGATTCTCTCTCATCACTGATGTTTCTCTCTCTCCTTCTCCCTTCCTCTCTGAATTCAATATAAAATATATTTTTTAAAAGAGTTAATGGGGACTTTGATGGGCATGTTCCTGTCCTCCTGACGCTGCCTCTAAAGACTGGTGCTGGAGAGGAGTTGACAGCAGTTCCAGACATCCAACCAGAAATTCAAATAAGCCACACACCGAGTAGGGGAGATGCTCTCTCGAAAGACACAGAACATCCTTGGGTATTGTCATCTGTCAGATGGACAGATATCTGCACTTACGATGGAAGTGTTCTGTTCTTCTCCCAGTGTCTGCTCCCCATTTACTAGGGGCGGTGTGAACCTAGGCAAGTCACTAATCTTGAATCTCAGTCTCCTGATCTATAAAATAGAATCATAGATCATAGCTCCCTCCCAGGGCTGTGGCGAAGGTTAAATGAGCTAAAATGTGTCCAACAGGGCTTGCTGAGAGGGCCTCACAGATGGGGACGGCGGGGTTTGGTTTCCAGTCAGTGCAGCAGCCAAACGCCACTGTGCTCATCGGTGGACGTACGCTGCCCTCTGGGACACTCCTGCCGACTCTCTGCTTTCCCAGCCATGGTCCTGTTTGTCGTTTTGGATCTCCTAGGGCTTTACATGGCCCCGAAAAGGCCTGTTCAACGCCCTATCCCATGTTTATAATACAGGCAGCTTGTCAATGGGATTTCAGGAATATGTGCTTGTGTCGAACATCTTTTAAGTTTGGCTGTTTCTGAAAAACGTCCTGAGTCACCATTTCAGGTGCTGCATTTCCACCCAAGCCAAGCGGCAACGGTGGCTGTGGGTTCAGTCTGGACGTGAGGACCTGCATGGCTGGGATGGAGAACTGTACCATCAGACACACGGGATCATCACACTGTCTCCACTCACCATTTTTGCAATTCTTCTTCTTTTTTTCTTATGAGACTGTAAAACTACAGGGGCTTTCCAGTTATTTGCATAGACTCTGGTAAACGTATCTGACAGATCTAAAAATATTATGAAAAGCATCCACTATTTTATGTGCCACGAAACAAGAAGCGTCAGCTTTTAAAGCTCCTCGCATGCGAATGGGATGACAATCAAAAATGTCTTCTCCAGCTCTTCCCTGAGGAGAACAGTCGAAACCCCAACAGTCCAGTGGTGTGGTCCTCCTTCCTTCATGTGCCCAGGGCCATTCAGGGGCTAAGGTGACAGTGATAAAAGGTCCCTGCCCTCACAGACTTTGTTCTGTAATCAGTTTTTTATATGTCCATGAAGAAAGAGAGAGATTTCTTAATTTTTACAGATGCAAAATAAAATAAATGCCAACACATTACAGAGTAAATGCCTATCAGGGGTGGGGGTGGGGTGGGGGAGGGAGAGAGAGAGACAGAGAGAGAGAGAGAGAGAGAGAGCTGGGATTTAGAAGCTTGCCATTTGCAAGCCTTTTGTCCTTCATAAATCTGAGTTTCTTCATTTGTAAAAGAGGAAGGGCAGGGGTGATGTTCCACTCCCTGCCCTGCCAGGCGCTACATCACAGAGGGCTTGTGAGAATGTACTAAGAACACATGTGTGTGAAGTGCCCTGAAAACTGCAGTCACTTATTAGAGAAAGTCCACGCATCGCCACGCAGCCTGTTGCCCAGAGCAGGCAGTAGTGATTGTGGACGTCACTTTCTATCTCCCAGGGCTCTCAGTCACACCGGCTTCCTCGCTGGGAGCCGCGTTTAGAAGCAGTCGCTTCAGGCAGAAATGGAACCTAGACTCTTGAGGCAAAATGAATCGCCCTCTAAAGGGTGCACGTTCAGACACCTCCCATGCACTTGGGCAGCTGCAGTCAGTCCTATGGTTCTAGTCCCACCGGGTAGGTGCTTCATGAAATGCTCACTGGGCTCTAGGGGACACACGTGGGAGTCTCCTCGATCCTCATTCTGAGGTTAATCCGCCTGTGGCGGAAAGAATGAATGTGTATCCCAGTTCATGGAACTTGGTTGTGAAGAGAGAGAAAGGATCTTGGCTTTAAATAGAAACTGGCTTGATGAAGTGCGTTCACATGAGGGACGGTGCCATCTATCCTACCGAGTCTCTGGGCTGGAATCACTCACTCACATTGACACTTGGTTCCTTATTCTCAAGGCTCCTCCATTCCCCACATCTAGAATTCTAGAAGTTTAGAGCTGGGAGAGACCTCACAAATGAACACAAAATCCTTCTGGAAAAATCCAAAGTCAAGGCTCGTTAGCAAGGAGGCAGGGCTCAAAGGTAGATCTTCCTTCTAGGATCTTGCCGCTACACTCTACTATATAACACTGCCATTACTAAGTGCTATACGGTGTATGTTGGCATCCAAATTTCCCTTCCATACTAGAGAGAGAAAGAGGGAGGTGGGGCAGGGGTACCTTTTTCTTTATTCTTCCTAGCAAAAGGAGTTATTTCTTAGCTTTTAATTCTACAGGTCAGATTTTTTTTTAATATATTTTATTGATTTTTTACAGAGAGGAATGGAGAGAGATAGAGAGTCAGAAACATCGATGAGAGAGAAACATCGATCAGCTGCCTCCCGCACATCTCCCACTGGGGATGTGCCCGCAACCCAGGTACATGCCCCTGACCGGAACCGAACCCGGGACCCTTCAGTCCACAGGCCGACGCTCTATCCACTGAGCCAAACCGGTTTCGGCTACAGGTCAGATTTTTGATTTGCATCCCCAAAGTTTCATTCACAAACCCTTCTATATTTCTCTAAAGGTCTGCTGTGATGTAGTGATGTTGCTGGCTGCATTAGAACTCAAAAGTGATTTCCCTGCTCCATCATGATCTTCTGCCTGGATGAGAAACTGTCTAAAGTGTAGGCCTCTGCTCTGTGACTTCCTCCTCCACCTCATGAAGACAACCCAGACAGGGACATGTGGGACGCAGGCCGGTCTGCAGACATCACCTGTGTCTGTGGGTTTGTAGTCTGTTGGAAGGTGCCAGTCTGGGCACTTATTCATGGAAACAGATTTGCAACGCAAATGATTAATACTAGTAAACGCAGGTGCCTAGATTGTGGTGAGGTTTCCCCCTTCCTCCAATAGAGAATGTCTGTCTGTTTACTATTTGTCACACAAACTCAACCCAAGAGATGTGTGTTTCTGAGTGTTGGCTACTTCTGCTTTATACTAAGGGTGCGCTGGCACCACTTTGTACACTTTGGGTTTCTCCTCTTTGGTAAATGAATTGTGTGCTCTAGGAACAGTTGCGGAGAAGGTCTGGGTACCAGACTCTATTCCAGTGGCACAGTCCTACGGGGTTTAGGCTCTCAGAACTTCAGACTGGGTATTGTTTTTGTTTTCCATGGCCAATTAAAGGAAAAGAGTCAATTCAATATGGCAGCCAAGTTTCAGATGCTACAGTGTTAAAAACCTATACAGGGAAGTTGCTTAGCAAGGGTGAGAGAATTTGGTTCTGCTTCGTCCCCCTGACCAAGAGGCAGCCAATGGGATAAGTTCTCTTCCATCACCTGATGTGTCTAAAGGTGCTAGGATCCAGACACCAGCTGAAGGAGTGTGTCACAAATGTCCTAAAATATGAATGGTAGGTGAACTTCTGTCTGACCTCCATCATTACTAAGTACAGCATTTCATTCACCTATTGAGCTCCTAAATATGCCAGGTTTTGTGAAAGGTGCTGGGGACATGTGATATATAAGTCAGGTAAACAGGAGGAAAAAGTCTAATGACAAGGGATACCTCCTATAGGTAAGAAGGCATAGAGTGCAAGGGCAATGCATGGGACAGGTACATTAGTGCTTTGGAGGGGAACAGAGAATGTACCAGAAAGATAGACACTTTTGGATTGGGGCTAATCACAGGGGTGAGTAGGGAAGGGGTTTTCCAAGAAAGTGCAAGGCCAGGAAGCAGAGGCAGCAGTTCATGGTGGAAAGTATAAGTCCACTGTCCCTCATGTGGAACCACATAATAACAAATAAGGCTGGCCTGAGAGCCAGAACATGAGTCCTGAAGGGCCTCCGGTGTCAGGCTGGGAACTGCATCTTGGGTTTGGGGGAGACTGGCGGTGAGGGCAGATCACAAAGGAGGTCCTTGCATTGCTCCAGGCCTCGCCAACAGCCGTGAGGATAAGAAAAGCAGCGAGTGAAGGGCATAGAGAGGGAGGTGATTTATTACAGGAGTGTGATGAAGGAGAGGGAGGGGCTGGAGGGCCTCTCTAAGAATGCTAGAAACTAGAGCTGCAGGCGCAGAAACTGGGCCTTAAATCATGTGGTTATAGGTATGGGATCCCCTCCCCTCATCTTTTGAGACTTCTCCCTATCTACTGACCAGGAGTTCAACCCTACCCTCTGCATCCCCAGTGAACTGCAGGCACAGATCTTTCCGCTTTCCCTGGGATGCAATGGGCGGAAGAGTGATTAGCACACACCCCAGTCCCTTGGACTCACCGTGAGCAGGTTGATCAAATCCATGTTGGGCTCTAAGTGGTGGGAGGCATTCTGCAGGGAGACCAGTTCACTCAGGGTGACGGAGAGCTGGTGCATTTTCACAATGTTCACTTTGTTCTCCTCCGTCCAGTCTGGGAAAATGACATGGACTGCTATCAGGTCTTTCAAGTGCACGCCAAGGATGGGGATTTTGAAGCCCTCACAGTCGGCAAAGGCCTTGCGGTAATTGCAGTAATTGCCGTTGGAGGAGACCAGCTCTGTCATTTCATTCCAGTTCTGGGAACAGATGGAAAAGAAGATTTTCAGACAGCCTTCCCATCTGCCCATCCCCAGGCCCGCAGTGTGTGGCTAGGAAATTCCTCGGCTACTGAGAGGAGTATCCGTTGCACCAATGTTGATGCAAGGAAATATTAAACAGGAACAAGAAAGAAAAATGTACTAGGAGTTGAACAGCCTGTTCCATTCCGCTACAACATGCAAATAGCCCACACCTCCGCCTACCTATTAGGGAAGCTGGGATGTTAAATATCATGTCTATATACGTATTTTACAATTGATGAAAATATTACGGTCCACAAATATATGCATGTATTGTATTATCTTTAAGCATGTAGTATATTAAAATTTCCTAGTTATTCCAAAAAAGTTGCATTTGAGATATATTACTTGAAGATTAATTTAGGACAGTATGGGGTAGGAAATGTCACACTGAGGTGTGAGACAGCTGTGGTTTTGAACTCTGCCACTCACAGGGTGACCCTGACCAAGTCACTTCACCTTTAGGGCCTCAGTTCCCTTTTCTATAAGAAAGAGGAGTTCAAATAAATAACTTTTAAGACACACGGGTGGTACCTCGCCTCTTTGAGCCTCTGTTGGATTCATATTCTTCACCAGGGGAAAGTCTGCAATCATGTCAACATTAAAAACTTTTAATAAAAAAAGTGTGTTTTGCTCTTTATTTGAAATTTAGTACAAAGCTGAAGGAAAATGAAACACATAATGAGCCGTATCATACTTGGAGTGAGTGCAGTGCTTGAGGTCAGACACCAGTGCTCTGTGGTCTACGTCCTCCTGTTTCTATGGACAAGCTATTGTTGGTTGCCTAACAGCAACCAGACCTTCCTAATAGACCCTGATTTTGTTCAGTCTACTCTTTCCCAAAGCAGCCCATGTGACTCAGAGGGAGCTGTTTCCAGCCCCAGGTCCAAGGATGGGTTCTGATTTACCGTTAGTTATCATAACCCCACCCCTCTGGTTTGTCATTGGTTCAGAAACACAGAGTTAAGCCAATCAGTACATTGTATTCCTCTGGCAATTGTTATTGGTCCAGAAGTAGACATATGACTTGAGATGGTCCAATCCGTCTAAAAAGAAGGTCTTTAATTCCATAGGGGCAGAGCAAACAAAAGAAATGTTCTCTGTCTCCACCTTTCATGAACAAGAGAGTTTAATTTTCTGCATTGATGAAACAACAAAACAAAATAAAAACTGATACTCAGAGGAAGGGAGTACAGCAGCCAGAGTTCTGATCAGACCATGCCTGAAGTCAGCCCTGTCTCTGGACTTCCAGGTATGTGAGAAGATGATCTATTTCCTTATTGTTTAAGCCATTTCAGAGTTTTAAAAAACTTACAGCTGAAATTGTCCTTACTGATACAACAAAGTATACTCTTATAAGGAAATCTCTTCATAAGAAGGAAGTGTTTCTTTATGTTCAGTAAGGAAAAATATTATTATAGGTGCCTGGAAATAAATATGGAAGAAAGCTTGATTTGGGAAATAATCATTTTTTAAAAATATACTTTTCCTCCTGACAAGTCAGCAATAAATCTGAGGAGTTTCTAGACAAGGCCTATGTCTCTCGCTTCCATTGCATCTTCTGCTGAGTTGAACACAGTGCCATGAGTAGAGCGGGTGTTCATGACTTCCTTTGAGGAGGGGAGGATAGGAATGATTTCTGTCTTATTTGCCTTGTAGTCCCTGATTGGATCACAGTGCCTGTCACATGGGAAGCACCAAATACATACTTGTTGAATATTTACAACTACAGAATGTAATGGTATTCAAGGTACTCTTACTCGGACACTTGCTGCTACCTCCAACCGGTTTTCCATGTGGCATGTCTAGTCCCTTCCTATTTTACCCCCATGTGTAACCCACCATTGTCTAAGAAGAAAACACTCCCTTCACAGTGACATTTGTTAAGAGTATCCTACCCCTAAATAGTTTACGAATGAATTTTTTACTTGGGATTAGCATCCAAGCCACTGTACCTTGGTAACTTCTGAAGAAAGATGAGAATGGGTCTCTTTGAGGCGTGAAATGGAACTATGACTAAGGCCTCCCACCACTGCCATCAGGGTGTTAAAGTTTTTGAGCTGAAGGAGCTTCTGCAATAAAAAATGTCAACATCAATACTTTCTAACAATTTTTGAATTGTTCTGAGCTTTCTGAATTACAGGTGAAATGCATACACAATTTAATAACAAGGACCTAGGACAAATGATTTAAAATGAAGTGCAAATAAATTCCATTAGGAAAATATATCCATCATTGCACAGAAAAGTAGTGCTTTCAGGTATTGGCAATTAAAAGCAATCTTCTTGCATGAGAGAAGTATGATTTGTTCATTAAACATCTATGAATAGTTTAATTGCCCTTTATATTATGAACCCCAAGTTTCCCCAATGACTTTTCTCAATAGAGTGCATGGATACCTAGAATGCTTTAAGAACTCCAGTCTCATGACCAGATGTACGTACCTTGGCAACATTGATAAACTTTGTGATGACTTCTGCCCTTTGCTGGGGGGTTGGTTTGCTCAGAACCATCAACTGGACCCATTTAGAGATTCCATTAAATAAAGCAATAGATCTCTCCAAGGTTGGGTTATTCTCCAGGCAGCCATGGATGACATAGCTTTGATAATCAGTAAACTAGTAAAAGAGACTCTGAATTATAATGAAGTCTTTGCACAATCGGAAATTAGAATGTTGCATGAAAGAGGTGAGATATTGTTTTATTATAGCACAACGATTTCTTCCATTTCACATTTTAATGGCATCTTATAAGTTTAAACACACATGTAGCTTTAACATGTTATTTGGCTGTATTTTACTCCCCAACACAGACATACACTCATTACTAGTACACATGACAGTGTTGGTGGGTGAGGAAGGGGTAAGACTCCAAGTCACATTCCAGTAAAACCTAAAATTGCTGGGTCATAATATTCACCTGGGGCATTTGCTAAAATAGGGGTTTCTGGGAATGCCCCAGACCTAAAGGGTCATTATCTTCAGAGGAAGAACCTCAGAATCTCCATTTTTCACCCACAACTGGTGATTCCAATGGTCAGGCAAGTTTGAGATACAATGGCATACATTAAAAAGGAAGAAATGCATATAAACATAATGATTTCAAATTTTATCAATGTTTTACTTTTCCAGGAAAAAAATAGTAATTGAAGTAAGACAGCTCTTTAGTAAACAGACACATTTTCAGAAAATCAGCATGGATGTCATCACATACATATGAGCCTTCTGTCATATAAACAGTGTAGGGGGTTTCCTCTTATAGCCTGCCTGCCGGGAGTCAGTAAGAGGGCCTCTCCAAGTAGGATTGCTTAGTGAAATGAATCGGTCTTTCAGAAATCCATATTTCTAACCTCATGTTCTTCTTTGCAAGGAATAATGTAATTCATTCCCTGGCATCTTGGGAAAGAAGGAGGAGAAGTGACCGCCCCAGAGCTTGGTGAAAGAGACAAAGGCTGCTTGTAACCAACCGTAGTGGAAATATTATCATAACAAGTGGGCAGTGAGTAGGTAGCTAGTAAGAGACCATGGTCAGAAGGGAGAAAAGGGTAGAGAAGGAAAGCTATCAAGACAGAGTAGGAAAGAAATGTTTAATTCAGGATCTCCATCCCTGGGAAACAAACACTTGGATGCTGAGATTCTCCTCAAAGCCTACAATTCCTATTTTCAACCTACACCCATAAGTAGGCATTTATACAAATCCCAACCTAAATAAATATTTCTCCCCCCAAACAAAGGGCCTAGCAAAACACGTTCACTTGGGAGAAGCCAACAGACCTAAATAAACCTTGAGTGGTTCTATCGGCACTGGGTATTCAGAAAGTCGTGCTTTCATCCTATGAAAGGGGACATTGAAAATACAGCAGCAGAAATATAGCTCCCGAGCCATAAAATAAAGACAGGATAATATTTATTTTTGGTGGAAAGGGATTGTTCCTGTGAATTAAGGGCACTTTTCCAATAGAACACAGTGACAGAGGCTGCCAACACGTCAGCGTATGAAAACGCGGCTCTTAGGAAAGTTGGCATGGAGGTTGTTATCCTTGGAAGAATAAATGTCAAATTTCTTACCGAGATCCTTCGAAAAGATTTATGCTCTAGAAAAGTGAGGTGCTCAGCCAATTCAATGGGCTCCAGATGGTCAAACAGCAGACAGGCTTTTCCCTTCTTGGATACTTTTTTCCTCTGTGTGACTCTTCTCATCCAATCGTAGGAAGGTCTATAAAAGAGGAGTGAGTCTGGTCAGTGTGCCGAAAGCCTCTTTCCCTCCATGGAAGTTATTAACCTATTGACTCTGTAACTCTTGGCCTGCCTCCAGGGGCCTGTGCAAAATACACACGCTGTCCTGGGTATTTGAAGAGAAAACCACTGACCCATCGCCAGTAGAACATAAACTTCGAGTTGTTTTCCCAGACAGGGCGGATTTGCACTGATCCATCCAGAATCTCTCACTTGGTCTTTCTGGTGGCCAGTAAGGTCTGGATCATAAGGGAGAGGTCAGGACTAGGTCTATACATTTGGGAGTTAATCAATATATAGGTAGTGATTTAAGGCACATGGGAATCACTAGAAACTGGTTCTCACACTTCAGTAAGATAGGGATCATCAGAAAAGTTTGTTATAAAGACAGAGGCCTGACTTCATTGCCAGAGATTCTGATTTACTGGGAATGAACCTGAATAATTGTCTGGATTTTTAACAACATCCCGAATGATTCCTGGATCACTCTCGAAGAAGTATTGTAGGAAAATAGGCTAGAGTGAGAATGCCTGGGACAAAAGAACACATATTTGCAAGATGGAAACCCATACTAAGGGTCATAAGATAGTTTTCTCTGTGCAAAGTGAACTGGTTGATATAAAACACTATCCTAATTAGCACCATGTTCTTAATAACTGAGCTAACTAGTTCATGGCACAACTATGGTCAACATTTGTACAGCCTCAGAAGCACCAAGGTATAGGGCTTCTCAAACTTGAATGAGCATATGAATCACTTGGGGATCTTATTCAAGTACAGTTTCCAATTCAGCAGGTTTAGGGTGAGGCCTGAGAATCAGCATTTCTACTGAGCTTCCACGTGATGCCAATGCTGGCTATCCATAGACCACAGTATGAGTGGCAAGGGCATAGGGGACATTCACTACGTTTTAGAAAATACTGAGCATTTATATGTGCCAAATGCTTTTACCGACTATTTTATATACTGACTGGATGCTCATGATAACCCCATGAGAAAGGTACTACCCCCATTTTACAAATAAATAAATCAAAGCTGGGAGAGATGAACTAGGTGCAATGGTGCTCACTGCAGCAAGACTTTCTCAAAGAAGCACACCCTGATTCTGAAATGGTATGGATTGAGGTCTAGTGGGGTCGTCACTAGTCCCTGCCCTGAACAGAGGACTCATCATGTTTGAAAGAAGCTTGAACCACTCTTACATGCTGGATATGTCGATGAGGCTGACGTGTTTTTCATATCCTAGTTGACTAGCCACTTCCCGGAATTCTTCAGTCATGCGGATCAAACCAAGGTCCAAATTAAACTCTGCAGGAAATTTCAGAATCCAGTACCTGAAAGGCATCACATCTTTTTGACAACCAGAAGATTTCAAGCTGGGCCTCTGTGTAAACTATAGTATCATTTTACAGATTACATTCAACAGAGAATCCAGGACCACACCCCAATTAGCAATCTCCTATCCCCCACCCATCACATTGAGTCTAACCCTTTCCCTTCAATCAAGGACCCAAATCCACTCCCACACTGAGCCCCTCTTTCTGACTCTCTCCAGAAGGAAACCCTTCTAGGCTCATGGCAAGTAGGTGGGAATGTGCATGGTGAGGGAGGAGAATAAAAGAATTCACTCTCAGGGCTGCTTTCATCCCCTAATCACATGTACCACTGCGTGAGCTCTAGTTCCAAAGAAAGATACATTCTACCCCCAAGAACAGAGGAGGGCCAATTTTAGCAAAACCAATGAAGGGGAATCTGAGTCAGTTTCATTGTCAAACCAGGTCTGCCTCTTGGGGCAAAGGAAAGTGTCCACCAGAAGCAGTAACTACAAGACAATTAAATTTGTAAGTATATTTACCTCATGAAGTAGCAGATCTTTAATCGAAATTCATCACAGCTTTCTCCACTGGCATTTCGATACGTGCACTCGTTAAAGAAAAGCTCCTTGCAATTGGTTTCCTTTGCAGACACCTGCAGCTTTGATCAATGTAGACGAATTCCTGATAAGAGGGCCGCACTGGGGACCTCTGGCTTATGTGGGTGCTCAAATGGGGAGAGAAGTGTGTTCTGATGATGTCAGCACTGAATAGTTTATTGCTCTGGGATGTCCTTTTTTGGTCAGGAAGAGAAATCACTTACAAAATTTTACCTTCCTGAGCACTTACCAAGTGATGACTGTCAACTATAATTACACCTATGCTACCAACTAGATATCATTTAAAATTGGTAGTACATAGAAGCACCATTCTGGCAAAAAAAAAAAAGTTTTGTAATGAGGATCAATGCCTTATATATGTACTTTAATTTCTTTAGTATTTGAAAATGTCATTGGCAGGTTTATTAATACACAGGGTGTGTTGCAATTTATTCTGGTCTATTTATTCACTGTCTTTAACAAATATTTACTGAGCTCCCGCTATAGGCCAGGCACTGTGGGTATGCAGTAGCCAGTGATCTAAAGGGAGGAAAATCTAAAGAAATGTCAGCTCACAGGCAGTTTCAACTGTTACACAATCTGTATTTTCAGACATTAGGCTGTATTGTGTCTAAATATCCATTTTAACGTGTGTTTCATATTATCAGCGGGCATTCTAATGATGAGAATGCTGTTTGGGGCACATTCTTTGGACAGTGTTAGGATCCCGATGAGAGATGGGACCAGACTGAGACAATTCCATCCATCCTTCCTGTGGGCTACCCTCAGCAGTGGGACCCGTGGAAACTTGGGGCACCTGGAACCAGGATCCCGTTCACTTCCAGGGACCTCTGTTCAGGGTGAATGTCCCCTTATCCTCTCTATCATCCCCTTCGGCCTGGAGGCTGTGGGAGGATGGAGGGAAGAAGTGGAAAGTGGAGGAAGCTGGAAGGACGCAGGTGGAAGCCCCACTTGGCCCGGATGACACTCCATGGGCCCGCCCCCTCTCGGGCTCCCCTGCCTTGTAGGGCTTCTCTCTTATCTGCAGGGCTCCTGGGCTTGAAGCAGGCAGAGACTATAGGAACCAATATTAGCAATTACATGATAACATTAGATATTGGGGAATGAAACGTCCTTATAAATGTGAGACTATTTTGCCATTTTCAGTCATTTGACTTTCAACCATCTTTTAAGACTGCATTATGTCTAACTGGTGAACTGCTAAAAAACGTTCTAGAGTGGTATTGTTTTTCCTCCTCTTAAGTCAGAAGGAAACCTGAAATTAACATCAGTCCACAAATTACAATAAACCTGCTAGAATGTTCTTTGTATCTTGACAGTAAGGAAAGATGTAAAATCTTAGGTGGTGTTTGTGCCTGAGCCACATCATATTACTTTGGCTGGCATTTCTAAATGTCTAAATCAAATTCTCTAGGTCCATCATTTTGCCCTTCTAAAAGGAATGAATTAGATCCTGAATCAGTGTTAAATATTCTTTCATTGTACTCACAGCAGAAATGTTGAAGCAGGTTAGAGACATTCAGCCCAGAGCTCCTGTTTCATTTTATATCTAGTGCTTATGTTCAAGTAGAGCCAAAACATCCAGATGGATAGGCAACTATTTGCTCCACCATCCAGATGTTTTGTCTAGACGTCTAAATATATTCACAAAACAGCTGGATAACTGACTGAAGATTATTTATCATCTTAATTTACTGGCTTTGGTTATACACTCTATCTACATAAGTACATAACTTGATTTATGATTATACAGTAGTTGAAAAGATATATGCAGAGAAGTTTTTCTGCCAGTTCAGTGGAAGATAAATACCATCGGTGCATCAGTAGAACTATTCTTGGCAAATAACTATTATCCAGCTCTCCATTGTCATCTGTTAAAAAATAAAATGAGATGAGGGGTGAGGAGGTAACAGTACTACTCTTCTCTTTTCTTAATATCAGTAGAGAAACATTAGTGTCAAAAATTTCTCATAGACTCAATTATCATTTTCCTCCTACTTCTGCTGCTATTTTCTTGCAAGTTAAGTGGGTAGGTTTCACCCTTACTCTGGTTTAGGGCTGCCAGAATTTAGCAAATGAAAATCCAGGACCTTTAGTTAAATCTGAAATAAGGTAAACCACAAATAATTTCCTAATATAAGTATATCCCATGCATTATTTAGGACATACTTATACTAAAACTGTGGTTTATCTGAAATTCAAATTTCACTGATCATCCTGTATTTTATCTGGTAACCCTATTCTGGTTTAGCTTTTTCCTATAAAATCAATTCAACAAACAACTCCAGTGTGACTCTACTGTGGTAAAGAGTAATCCAAAGTGCTGAGGTAGATACATAAACATAAGCATATAGCTGTAAAGTCTATCTATAACCTAGTAGGAGATGTAAGACACAGATGCAAATAGAGAATGCAGCAGACTGTGCTACCCTCACTTGTCTAAGCCAAAGACCAAGAAGTGATCACAGCAGCATATGCCATGTGCCATATGAAAGTTACAAAGGACTGTGGGAGGGAGCAATCCTGACAGGGGAGATTAGGAATGATATTATGAACATTGGAGATGATATCTGAAATGAACCCTGAAGCAGAATTTCAGTGAAAGGGGTATGATAAAGGCAAGCAGGTAGAAAGGTGCAGAGAAGGTTCCAGAATCATTATACAGACAGGATGGCTAGTGTATTAGCTGTGGGCAGTAAAGGGAAGGAAATGCAGAGAGCAGTGATACTGGGGAGACAGACTGGGGTCAATCAAAAGGCCTTACTAGTAAGCACCAAGATATGAAGATTGAATTCTGCTCTTCAGCAACACTTGGCTCTGACTAGGAGGAAGTGATAGTATCAAGAGATACGAAGGGGAAACAAGACTCATACCAAACATCTCAATGCAAGTGCTCAGCAGTTCGTCTAATGTTGCTGCTTTCCCAAGTCCACTGGACCCCATGGTTATTTAGCCGTTGTCAAAAAACTAGAGACATTTTCAGCATCACACAGACCATCTCCATAATCACGCAAGTTGGTGATGTTTGTGCCTCGCGGTGGTCTCTGTCCTTAGTTATACTTCAAGGCTCTAAAGAAGCAAAAAGGAAGTTATCAGACCAGAGCTCAGACCCCATCAAAGCATCACTTTCCTACCCAAAAAGCTAATTGCTTTCATCAACTGTATCTTTCTACAGGAAAAGTATCAACCGCAATGATGGCAAAATGTTTGCTAAGCTATCCCTTATCATGTATGATGTTCTGAGACCACAGAGATGTTCTCTATTAAATACCATCCCATTTTGCAGCTGAAATTTTTGGGGAAACATTTTATTCATGTTCTCAAGTGACAAAACATCCAAGAATATTATAAACACTACTTAGTTTAATATTATGAGTATATAGAGGAAGATAAATTTTAAATTACAAATATATTTATGAGCATTATACTCCGTGATCATATAAAAGTTGAAAAATCTTATTTGCCTAAGTTCTCCAATAGTATCACTATTATATTTTCCTTTTCTTAAAATTAAAAAATTTCAATTATAGTTGAAATACAATATAATACTAGTTTCAGGTGTACAATGTAGTGATTAGACATGTATATACCTTGTGAAGTGATCACTCAGATAAGTCTGGTACCCATCTGACACCACACATAGTTATTAAAATAATATTGACTACATTCCCTTTGCTGCATTGACTATACATCCCTGTGATTGTTTTTACAACTGGCAACTTTTACCCCTTAATCCCTTCCCCTTTTTCACCCATTCCCCTAATCTCCCTCACACATGGCTACCATCAAAAATGTCCTCTGTATCTATGAGTTTGGTTCTATTTTGTTTGTTCATTTTATTTATTTTTTAGATTCTACATATACGTGAAATCATACGGTATTTGTCTTTCTCTGTTTAACTTATTTCACTTAGCATAATAGTCTCTACGTCCATCATGCTGTCACAAAAGGTAAAATTTCATTAGGGCTGAGCAATATTCCATCAACACTACTATTAGTAGTAGTAAAAATACAATCTATTAAACACCCACATTATATACCAGGCATTATACCAAATTATTTACATATACTTACAACTTGAACTTCATAATATTACTGTCAGGTAGTTAATTATTATTCTCAGTTTACAGATGAGGTCATGGGATTCACAGAGATTCAGCTACTTGTCCAAAACCACACAATTATTTTGAAGGCCTAGAATCAGGACTCTTATAAAATCAAGCTTTTGGGTTCCTTTTTTATCTTTTTACTATTCACCCCAGTATAGTTATCATAAACTCTCATAATTTTGCCCCTAATATGATGTGAAAATATCACCCTTCCACACCATCTCAGAAAGAGGCTATAAACTGATTCTCTGTTGCAGAGATAAGAAGAAAAATGTGGTGATGACAGCAGTCTCATTTTACAGCACTGTCATGGGGAACATGGGATTGGAAACAACCTCTCAGAACTGCTTATACTGAAAGGATCCCTGTTGGGGGCATTCCATCATTTTCTTTTTACAGAGTGACTTCTTGATGCCAGGTCCACATAGGGCTTGGAAAAGTCCAGGTGTCATCATGATGTAATATAATTACCCATGTTGGACAGTTTAGTAGGTAAATGTGGCCCTTGGGGAGTCATCTTATGAACTGCTTGAAGTCAATGTCTAATTTACTCCTGAAATTTATTTATGCAACTGATAATCATTGAGTATCCGACATGTTCAAGGCCTGGGCAAGGCATTGAGGCTGAGAAGAGGACAAATCACTGTCCCTTCCCTGCTTTCAATGGGCTCATAGTCAATTTCAGTAAGCAACACGTGAGAAATAGGGGGAAAAAATCAATGTCCATATGAACGGTTGTACTAAGTCAATGGGACACCAAAAAGGGACATGTGAGAGAGTCTGTTCACCAGGCATGTAACTCTGGAGGAAACTTGTTTACTGTGTATTGTTTTTGTGTAAGAATCATATTCTTGTGCGCTGAAGGTACCACTCTTAGAGCATAAAAAGTAGGGTTATTTCACATGTGCAATGAAATATAACAGACACGCTGAATCAATATTCTCCCACTTCGGCTGCCCAAATGATTTGAGAAAGGGGAATATTAAAGTTGCCTGGAACCCACCCTCTTACATTTATTAACCAAGTTACCTTACAGGAGGCCTTTCCTGGCCACCCAGTTAAAACAACACCTCTTTCTCCATGCCCAGCTCCCACCTGGCATGCTCGACCTAACTTCCTGGATTTATTTTTCTTCTTAACATGTATCTGCAAATGGCATATGATATATTTTACTTGTTTATTTGGGTTTTTAAAAAATTTTCTCGAACACTATAAACATATTCCAGGAACTTGGGGATTTTTGTGGTTTTTTCCCCCTCCTAGTGTATTCCCCAACTCCTACGTTTTTGCCTCTGACATGGAAGCTACTCAAAAAAGCATGTGCTAAATTAAGGAATGAGTGAATGAATAGATGGAGAAACTAATAAAAGAAAAATTATAAAAAGTTTGATTTTGAATATGTATATATTTGCTTGAATGTGTAACTATAAATTTTAAGAGGTCATTTTTTAGTTTGTTTTACTAACTTAAATCAGGTTTTAGCAAACATCAGTAGGACTCACTAGGATCTGCCTATATTTATAATTTGCACTTGGTACCTCTTCCAGGACATTTGGGGGCAGCACTTCTCTGATTTCCCTAGTCTCTGTCAACCCCATTAAAAGTAAAGACTGGATAATTGACAAGTTTGGTTACCTTTGTGTATATACAGGCATTTTTAAAATCTTATGAACTCTTGTTGCTGAATATTAGATTTATTACTTAGAACCAAACAGCTTAGTTTCTCAGGTTAAATCCAAAATTATTCCACCAAGCTGTATGGAGAAGTTGTTGACCCTCCACAAGGGGTTAGAAATAACCTGGTACCAAAATCCTGTCACCATGTTCGGAGTTATATTTGTGATCTGCAAAGAAGCCAGCCCAGGAGAGCCAGTTGGGCTGGGCTATCCCATTTCAATCTGTTTCTATACTCAGTAGATGTGTCTGTGTCCCTGCTTAGATTCTGTTGCCTACACATGTACCTGAGATCTCATGTCACATATGTGGATACTATTATCTACAACTGCTTTTTCAAAAGCAAAGCTCCTTTATTGTAAAAGCAATATACATGCATCATTTAAAATAGACAATAAGAAAGAAAAGGGGAAAAAGTTATCCATTATCTCACCATCCAAAGATAACTCTTATTTAATATCATGACATGTTTCTGTTGGTTTTTCCAGGGATATTTGTTTTGTAGAGTTTCTTGCTTCATTTACAATAGTTTAAAGAAATACCTACCTATTGGCTTCACACAGATTTCCAGGTCTGAATGAATTTTAATGGCAGTTATCATCATTGGAAATTGCATTGGGAACGTAGTCTGTAGTGCTGGCTTATTCAATAAATAGTAAGTACTTTGGAGAACCTGATAAAAGAACAGAAAAAAAAATTCCTCAGACAGAGTTAAATAATAGAAACCCCAAAGAATTCACCTTGTGTTAAAGCATTTCCAAAAACCTTGAAATATAGGTGTTTTTTGAGATTTCTTTTGTCTAAACTTCATCCATAAATTTAATTAAAAAAGAGAAAACTTTCAAAATAGTTACTTTGTGACTTGATATTTCAAAAGTCAAGCATTTTTTTTAAAAAATCCAGTCTATTAAAAACCTTAAAATGTTGCAAAACTGAAATTTATACACATAGTATAAAATATTACTTTAGTCCAAGTGACTTCTATCAGTGGATTACTCATTGAGAATTCCCAAACACAGACTTTGGGATGTTAGTAAACCTCTAAAACACTTTGTTGTGCTGATCCTCAGACTCTGGCTCTAAATCACTCCTGGCTGTCTCAACGTGAATGTCAATGTTATTTTAGTCCAGGTTGTTTAGTCTCCCAGTGGTTTAGGGGTTGCTTTAATGTTGATAGTGCTCTCCGGCTGCAATGGAAATGGTTGCTCCCCAGCATAGACATGTTCTCACAGGTCTGGAAAGGACACAATAAGCCAGAATTTCCCCAAGGATTGCATCATCTCTATATATAAAAGCCTAAGTGACCATTAGGACCGAACTATCAGAAGGACCGGTCAACTGGTTGCTATGATGCGCACTGAACACCAGAAGGCAGGCACTCAATGCAGGAGCTGCCTCCTGGTGGTCAGTGTGCTCTCACAGCAGGAACACGGCTCAGCCAGAAGCCAGGCTCATGGCTGTCAAGCGCAGCTGCGGCGGCTGGAGCCTCTCCCACCTCCACGGCAGCACTACTGAGTGGCAGTAGTGGCGGCGGTGGTGGTGGTGGTGGCAGCAGCAGGAGTGGCAGGTGCAGGAGGGCCGGATGAGCGGCAGCGGAGCTGCACTTGGCCTGGCTGGGGCTCCCCTTGGCCGCCTGCCGCTTCAGCACTGCTACATCCCTGAGGGGTCCTGGATTGCGAGAAGGCGTGCAGGCCAGGCTGAGGGACCCCACCCATGCACAAATCTGTGCACCAGGCCTCTAGTTTCTAATAAAGAAGTTCTCACTTCAAAAGGGCAAGAGTTCTGTTGGGTGTGATTTCCAAAAGCCATGATGTGTTTGTGCAGTAAAAAGACTTTCATTAACATGACTGGTGAAGACTCTTTCTTCAAAACATCCCTTGTGAGGTTGCCTAGGACAACAAGGAATGTGCTTCCAATTTTAGAAATAGTGAAGAGGAGCCAATTCCATGCAGCTATCTATTAACAGATATAAATTAGCACCCAGGTTCTTTTTAAATTTATTTTTTGTTAACCCTCACCCGAGGATATTTTCCCATTGATTTTTTAGAGAGCATGGTGGGGATTAGGTAGGGAGAGGATAGAGAGAGAAACATGCATGTGAGAGATGCATTGATTGGTTGCCTCCTGCATGTGCCCCATCTGGGGCTGGTGATGGAACTTGCAACAGAGGTACATGCCTTTGACCGGGAATCGAACCCGAGACCATTTTGTGTGTGGGCCAACTGAGCACGCTGGCCAGGGTGAATTAGCACCTCTGGCTCTTTACTCAGAATGTTTAGAGGTCTAAAAAATTGGATTTCGACATAAAGTTAACTAAATAGTGAAAGTTTTCATTACCTCTGAGTATAATGTTATTAACGCTGCTTAGTGTATTAGATTGCTTAAGGAGTTAGTGGGGTAGCATAAAATGTACCTACCATGTGGCCTGCAAAACACTGTGTGCTCACCTGCACTACCTCTTTCTTTCTAGTATTTAAAGGCTTTTAAGTTGAGGATTTAGTTACAGTAGAGGATTTATGTGTCGAAGTGACAAGAAGAGAGATGGTAGGTTAGAGAAGGGAAAGGGAAATAGAAGAATAAATATCGTGACACTAGAGCATCCAGTAGTGGGGCAGGTGGGCTCATCAGCAATGGAATTCCATTCCTGAAAGTTCTCCAGCCAAAGTAAGGTAATCATTGTCAGAGAAGCTATAGACTAAATTCCCAGACAGTGTCTAGGAAGCATGCCAAAATGACAGCAAAGGTTCCTCCTGGCTCTGTGCTTGCAGAATTTATAAGGTGACATATTATATCTAATAAGCATTCAACAAATGGTTTTGAAGTGATGTTGGCCATATTAGAACTTCCAAAGATTATCTTGTCTAAAGCATTATTTCTATTCCAAGAAAACAACTTCCCCAAACCCTTGAAAACTCTTTTCCCCCCAATGGCAGATATACATAAATATTTTTATACATAAATGGCCATATATATATGTTAACATTCATATAATCTTCATATGGAGACAAGGCGTTTCTCTAAATGCCTAAATCCTTTGTGAAAGTGGGTAGTAAATATCACAAACCTTTAAGCTTTAAGGATTAATGACTAAGGTGTCAGCATTTGTTGTTCTGGCAACATTCAAGCTTCATCTCCCTTTCTAACCACAGACATGAGATTTAAAAAGTTTTGTGATTATATTTTCTGAGACTCCATAGGAGAATCAAGATTATTGAGTTCAGTAAGAGAAATAACAAAACTCTGAAAGATAAATCATTTGACAAATACTTACTGTGAATCTATTAGACACCAATTACTAAGTAAGGCACTATAGTGGCTGGCAGAAGAAGTTTGGGGGTGAGCAGGGAGAAAGCTAAATTGGTGAGCAAGACAGACACAATGCATGCCTTTATACTCTAGCAAAGAATTAAACAAGTAATTACAATAACATATCTTATGAAGGGTTGGGGCACTAATTTAGTCTAGGAATCATAGTTCACGCAAGGCAAAGAATGGGTGGGGAGATGCCAATTAAGAAAAGTTGAAAGACATTTTGATTGGCTGAAGTATTTAATGTGGTGAGATATGAGACTAAATAGTCAATACAAGTAGCTTGTGAACAGTATTGTAAGCTATATTAAGGAGTCTGGACTTTATCATTGTTTTAAAGGTGAGGAGAGCGCATGATCATATTCGGATTTTTTAAAGATTCCCTCTAGCTGCAGTATAAAGAAGAGATTAGTAAAGACCTACACTAATGATGGGAAATCAACTAGTAGTCAATTATAGCCTTTCAGGCAAGAGATGATGGTTATCTAAACCAGACTGTGGCAATGGAGATAGAGATGCATGGCTGGTTATTGAATATATTTTGAAGATAGACCCAACAAGATTTGTTTGCTATGGTGGAATGATCAGAAAGGAGGAAATCAAGGATGCTTTCCAGATTTCTAGCTTGACATTTGGTTGGGTTATGAAGTCATTTCATAACCCAACCAAAATTGCTAAATTGAGGGAAGGGAGAAGGAGTAGGAAGTTCATGGGAGGCGAATGATGAGTTCACTCTTGAACACTTTGAATTAGAGATGTCTAAGACATACAAGGGGAAATGTTGAGTTAGCATCTGCATACCTGTTACAGACTTTTGAGTGGACACACCTGAGTATGTGTAAGTGCAAAGAATCAGTGGAAAGAAAAATTTAAGGGACAGAAGAAAGATAATTTAATCTTTTAACAAGGCCCCTGAGAGGACAAGGGTGATGAACCCATGCACAGGTGGTGGGATTTATCTGAGATAAAGCAGAGGGTCACCTCTTTTAATGTAACAACAGGAAAGAGAAAAATGGGTAAAGATATAAGATTTGTCCTCCTGATAGCAGGAAGTCAAGGAAGTTCCGCCTAAGCAGAAACTTTTTAAATTTACTCTAAAAAGGAGGAGATAAGGTCATGTGGTAGAAGGTCTGACGGAGACAGGTCTGAAGTTTATCAAGAGGAGAAAAAATACAAAAGATATTGTGAAGAGCGGGAAAAAGAAGCCAGAAGTACTGGGATTATTCCCATCCAGAGTAGAAGGCTAATGACTCTCTTCCTCTGGAGTCTGAAGGGAAGTTTAGTGTTCCTTGTTCCTTGGGTGACATCTTTTACGTGTGTCAAGTTTCTGAAATTATTTAAGGTAACTTTTCTTGGATAATTAATTCTTCTGTATGGGGCAGGCAATCCAGAGTTTTTGCTGTTATAGTCTAGTTTCCATAAGTATGAACACATGGTTTCCATAAGGAAGAAGCTCAGAGCTGAAGCATGGTTGGCATTGGTTAGGTGGTTTCCTCAGAAGGGCCTGGGTCCCTGCTCCCACTTCACCTAGCTTTGCTTGAAATGGTGAAGAGAAAGACAGACACTTACTGGAAGTGAAAAAATAAATCATTTACCTCCCACCCTTTGACTTGATCCAGAGCATTTCATTCTGGCAACTACAACCTCAGCCACCATCCCTTGTTCTCCACCTTCCCAGCCAGGTTTTGTGTCTCCGCCCTACAACTCACCCTCTCTAAAGTCCTCATCTGTTGTCTTGAAAAAGGTCATAAATCACAAAATACATACTGTTTTTTCGTCTATGTACTCTCCACATTTGGTATTCTTTGCTTGTTTCTGCACTGATCTTATTTCAATTTTAATTTCCATTCTCATTTCTTTCAATGTCATCTCTAGTTCTCTAGATTTCTCTATTTTATGTCCTTTTTAAAAAAATTTTTAAACCTCACCCAAATATATTTTTCCATTGATTTTTAAAGAGAGTGGAAGAGAGAGGGAAAGACAGAGAAAAACATCAATGTGAGAGAAACCCATTAGTTGTTGCCTCCTGCACGCCCCGACCAGGGCCCAGGCCGGGGTGGAGCCTGCAACCAAGGTACATGCCCTTGACTGAAATTGAACCCGGGACCCTTTGATCTGTAGGGTGATGCTCTATCCACTGAGAAAAACCGGCTAGGGCTATCTTATGTTCTTTAATAAGTTACTTTTCTCAGCATGTTCTGTCACAGTCTCATTATCAACACTGTCAAAGTTGTTTCTATCACAAACCAAATGGAATAGTATGAACTTGGGAAGTGAGCCAAATGGTTACAGTAAAATTAAAATGCTGTAAACAGCTTGAAATGATGACTCAGAGAATAAGCTATTATTCATGGATAGTGGAGC